GCTAATATTACTGCTGGGCTCTTCTCAGTTGAGTTTTCCTCTTGTGACACTGCTGTACTCATTATGTGCCTGTTTAAAGGAAGGCAAATTTAAACATTCTCTAATTCACTGGTCTTATTTGACTAACAAACGTGAAGCTTGATTGACAGTTCACAGTATACAGCTGAGAAAATCCTCATCCTACCTCATCTGTCACAGTCGCACTTCCAAGAAGTGAAGACCGCAGGAAGAGGCACCGCCACCTTTTAACCTGCCTGTTTGCATTATGGGCACACAGTCAGTCTGCATTTCCAGGTTAATGTCTCCATCTGTGGGCATACGGAAACCAAGTCAGCATCTTGGCTTTTCTTACCCAAAAAGATTGGCCAGAGACACCCCAGGGCAGAATCTGTTGTTGGTACATAACCTCTCCCAGAAAAAACTTGCTGTCCTTAGGGACAAGTTCTTGGGCAGACCGTTGTGGTAGATGATAAAAGCTTCCAAATAGAGAGAGCATTGGTTTTTCATTTTCATTCTCCACTACTTCGATAACTTCAAATTCTCTCTTAGAGCTAAATAGTAAAGTGTTTGAACACCTCTGGCATGCCATGCTTGGTTTTCTTTCATTTTTGAATGTTGATGGTTTTGTGTGTGTTTGGTTTTGATACTTAAGGGAATCATCAAAATGTTGGGTAATTTACCCTTGGGGGCATTCTCTCTTCCTGTAGTATGAATGGAGACTTCTGACTTTCAGGCAACAGCTCTTTGGCCAACAAAACATTTGAAGGACTCTCTAATAGGCCAACCCCTTCTTTCTGAATGGGAAATTAAGGGAGAAATCCAAGCATCTCCCCTACGAGGAAAGGCTGAGAGACCTGGGTACTGTTCAGCCTTGAGAAAAGAAGACTGAGAGGGGATCTTATCCATGTTTACATGTATCTTAAGTGTGGGAGACAGGGATTTGGCCTACCTCTTTTCAGTGGTTTGTGGGGACAGGGCAAGGGGCAATGGCCACAAAATGGATGACAGGAAGTTCTGCACCAACATGCGAAAGAACTTCTTCATGGTGAGGGATGATGGAGCACAGGAACAGGCTGCCCAGGGAGGTTGTGGAGTTTCCTTCTCTGGAGATATTCAAGGCCCGTCTGGACGCCTACCTGGACAGCCTGCTCTAAGGAACCTGCTTTGGCAGGGGGTTGGACCTGATGATTTATTGAGGTCCTTTCCAACCCCTACAGTTCTGTGATTCTGTGATAGTTCTACTATCCATGAGACTTCAAGCAGCAATGAAGTGATGCTCACTAATGAACTGAAAAGAAGGCTGCAGAGTAGCCAGGATAAGGCTTCTGCGACCAGCTCCCCTGTGATTTCAGTATAGTTTAGAAGACCTTGATGTTGCTTCTTTCTTTTCTGTCAACTCATGGAGCCTTGTTTGATTCAGAAAATAAGGAAAATGTCAGGAAAATTACAAGTATAAAGGATGATCCATCCTTGTGGTGGTTTTACTCAGGTGGGCAGCTAAGTTCAACCACAGCCACTCTCTCACTCCCCCTCTTCAAAGGGAAAGGGGGGAGAAAATACAATGCAAAGGGCTCATGGGCTGAGATAAGGACAGGGAGATCATTCAACAATTATTGTGATGGGCAAACAGACTCAGAGTAAGGAGATAGTAAGATTTATGGCCTATTACTAACAAGCTAGAGAAGTGAGAAACAAAGGAAAGAAACCAAAAACGCCTTACCCCAATCCACACTCTTCCACCTCCTCCCCCCGAGCGGCACAGGGGAATGGGGGTTGCGGTCAGTCTGTAGCACTTCGTCTCCGTTGTTCTTTCTGAGTCACTCTCGTCCCCTGCTCCAACATGGAGTCACTTCCACGGGATGCCGTCCTTTCCAGGATGACCCTGTGTGGGCTGCCCACAGGCAGCAGCTCTTCAAGAACTGCTCCCACACGGCTCCATACCACAGGGTCCATGCCTCGGGAGCAAACTGCTCCTGCACGGGCAGCAGCTCCCCCTAGAGCCCTGCTCCTGCGTGGGCTCCTCTCCAGCGGCTGCAGCTCCGGCCCGGGGCCTGCTCCTGCGGGGGCTCTGCATGGGTCACAGCCTTCTCCAGGCCACATCCACCTGCTCCACCGGAGGCTCCTCCACCCATGGGGGGGCTGCAGCGTGGAGATCTGCTCCATGTGGGACCCATGGGCTGCACGGGGACAGCCTGCTCCACCAGGGGCCTCCCCACAGGCCGCAGGAGACTTCTGCTCTGGCACCTGGAGCACATCTCCCCCTCCTTCTTCACTGACCTTGCTGCCCGCAAGGCTGTTTCTCACTCCTCTCACTTTCCCAGCTGCTGTGTAGTGGCATTTTTTTTTTTTCCTTTCTTAAATCTGCTCGCCCAGAGGTGCAAACAACATCACTTATTTGCTTGGCTCTGGCCAGCATCAGGGCCCTTACCTAACATGGGGCAGCTTCTAGATTCTTCTCATAGAATCCACCCCTATGGCTGCCTGCTACCAAAACTTTGCCACATAAACCCACTACAATCCTTTATGTGTCTGCTATGCTGGTGGAAGCTTCTTTGCTCCCTTAAGCCCCAAATGAAGCCCCAGGTTCCCTTGTCCCAGAAGGTAGAAAGCATTTAAAATGTAAAGAATCAAGAAAGAACTGCAGATTTCAGTTAAAATACTTACTAAATAAACCTTCAGTAGATTATAAGGTTCTGGCTGCTCTTTAATACACTGAAAGCATTACCTAAAGTATTCTTTGAATTGTGGGTGGTTATTGATCATCTCTGTGCTTGTGACTGTAAATGTTTCAACATATAGTTTCAACATATAGTACTTCAACCTAGTACTAAAGTCCACCACTAACTACAGAAGACATTTTACCACTCTTCTTGGTTTCATTGGTTATCAAAAAAAATATTTTTATTTAATAATTACATTATTTCTTTTAGCTGTGCAATCAGATTTTAGACCAACCTGGTCTTGAATAAGCACTGCAGTTCTAATAAGATAGCTGTAGCCCAATTTTCTAGTACGGTTTTAGGAGTTATGTTCTGTAGTGAGAAACAGAATTACTAATTTCTTGTGTTTTCTTCCCAAGCTTCTGAAAACGTTTCAGACTAGATTCTTTTAGTACAGCACGAGAGCTGGCTGTCCTATACAAATAGTGTTATGAAACGATGTCACCCTCCCTTGGATGGATTGAGGAACTGTTTGTTGCTTGACTGTCATGCTATTGACAGCAAAGCAGGAGACCTTTTCTTTAGAGAAGAGAGCAAAAGATCAATGATCAATGACTTTATTTTTAAATAAAACAAAATCTGGTCGTGGGAGTTTGAAAGGTCTTGATGTTTTTTATGAACTGTGTGATGTCTTTATAGAAAACCTAGAAGTTTGCCATCTACTTTTCTTAAGCATATGTGTAATTGGCCAGAAAAGATTATGGTTTTTTGTTTGTTTGCTTTGTAAATGGATATTTCACTACTACTTTTGGTGTGGTAGGCGTTTTTCAGCCAGTGTGAGATTTGCAAGGAGTTGGTAATTTTTGTATTTTCCAAAATACAGTTATGACTTCTAAGTCATCTTTGGAGATTTTTTCCAAATGGAAAATTTTTGGAAATTATTTCCAAATTCTTTATTGAGAAAGTAGTGCTTCCTATTCTTAATCTCTTTCCTGCTGTTTATTACAACTCATCAGCTTAGTGGTGAGAATAAAACCAGGGAGACTCTTTAGTTTTGTTTCTATGTTGAGCGATTACTTCTCACTCCTTGACTATGCCGGTTGTAATAAGAATTTCCAGATGTCTTGCATGCAGTCACTGGAAGATCTACCAGGCATCCTTGCCACAGACCATGTCTGAGCCTGATTTGTCAAAGTTCTGCAGCCATTGTCCTTTCTTTTTTGAAATGAACATTTTTTTTTCATCTCTCCTTTAATAGCCATCGTAACCTTGACAGCCTTTTACCTCTTCCTTGTTCAGACCTCTCTCCCTTGCTAGCAGAAGCCCTATGACAAATTACTGCTTTTTTTCCCTTTCACCTAGGGAAAAAACGTTCTTAATGAGAAAGCCATTTGATCATTCTAGCTTGTTTTCTGCCCCAGCAAATCCTGCTGTTGGATGTCTCCATTGATAACTACCCATAAATGCCTGATTTTAAGAGGATGGGTAGATTCTAGTAAGTTGGGTGACAGGGACATGTTCCCAAAGCTTTATCTATCCCCAAAATGATAGAAATGATAGGGGACATGGAAAAGATGAGGAAATAAGTGATACAGTTAGTGGTTTTATTTTTAATTAATTATCTGGCCAACCTGGTAAGTAATTGCTATACTAATTCTTCTGAAGTTGCATGTTCCTGTATCTTTCTTACAATGGTACCTACATGAAACATCTAATTTAACTTCACTATCAGAAGAATTTTTGTACTGCCATGTTTACTGTATATGGAGAGGATCATCTGTTATATACAAATCTAACAGAACAACTGGGTGGCTTACAGCCTTTGAAAGCTCTGAAATACTACTGTAGTGCCAAGTAAGGGCTGTGCCATTTTATTCTGTAGAATCCCGTTAAGTGAAGAGGTAAAAGCAAGATTTGGGTTCATCATGATTAAGAAACACTGGTCTGGAGTTTTTCCTGTCTTATGAAACCCTACAAAACTTCTGATTCTTTGTATTTCGTCAAAAAATGCATAGAAACAGTAAGAATCCATGTTTACCATATTGGAAAATTTGACTTTATTTTATTTTATTTTATTTTATTTTATTTTATTTTATTTTATTTTATTTTATTTTATTTTATTTTATTTTATTTTATTTTATTTTATTTTATTTTATTTTATTTTATTTTATTTTATTTTTGCCATTTGATAAGGGCTAGTGAATGCAAATTATTATGTCTTATCCAGGCAGGTGTTACTTACCTAAGTATCTTGAAAAACTGATAGGCTTGATTGTCAAATCTAACTTGTTTTATAGTTGTGATTGTTCTAACCATGTGAATTTTAAACTCTTTTTTCAGAGCCATAAAATTGACATACGAACGAAAGGTGGCAAAGTAATTGGTCTTGGAACACTTTGTGGAAATACAGATATTCATGCAACAGAGAAGGGTGTAAGTAAGAATTGACACTTCCTCTCTAGTGACTTGTTCAGCTTGCCTGTTGCAAAAAGACTACATTTTGAAGAACATGTGCTGAGGAATACTTAATGACCCTCATTGGTTGATTGTCATTTCACTTTTAACTTACGTTTGTCTGTTTAAATACCCTATTTTATATTATGCTTAGTTTGGATTAGACAGAAAAAGGAGTAACGAGCAAGTGATTGTTCTGTCGGCACTGAGGTTGGGCTAGCTGTTACAACTCATCAGCTTTAATTATTAGACCCTCACAAGGGTCCTGAGCTTTTTACTTGGCTGATGTCTAGACACCTAGATTCTGTAGTAGGCACCTGAGTTTATTTCAGTATCTTATGAATAGTGAGTGACCTGATACTTGCACATGCTTCCTAACTCCAGTTTTATGTAGTAAGAATTAAGAAGTAGAAAGTTTCATATATTTGTTTGCAGCTGAGGAAATGCAGTAATCAATCACATGTAATCCTGCTGAGATGCAGTGAGAATAACCATGAGCAGAAAGTTTTAGAGAAGTAGCTTGCCTTTTTCAGCAGGTGGCAGTATGAGACAAGCCTCGTGCTATGCTAATCTGGTTTTGTTTCTTAACAGTGAGTTGTCAATTCTCCATTATTTAGGATAGTGCAGTTAGGATCCTTTACATAAGAGTAGTTTTCACACCCAGTCTGGTTCTTAGGCTCAATTTGAATGTTCAGTCATAATACCCATGCATCTGGTTGCATTAGGTAGGGTTCATTCAGTCAGAAGTATTGATACATGAACATGTGGAGGCAAGGCTGGAAGTAGCTTGGATGCATGCAGAAGGCTGTCAAAATCACTAACTACCCTTAAAACCAGCAGCACTGGGAAGAAGCAGAAAGAGTTCTTGTAGCTCTCACTAGCCAAAGATAGAACTGAGACCAGGCTGTTAAGTTCCAGTAGTCCGGAATTGCCTCTGCAGAGTGCCATTTAGTGCTATTGCATGCCTTGTAGATTGGGCTCTGAGATTATATGGTGACTTGTGTAGAGTCAGCCGTGAGCTGTTTTTAACTTCCTGTTGAAAATTAAGTAACTCGCCATTGGATTTTCCAAAAGCTGTGAACATTACCTGCATTTCTTTGCAGTGGATGCTAGCCGTCCTTTTCGTGTACAAAGGAGCCCTGAGGCTGCTGTAGCTGAGCTATTTATTGCTATTTCTTTATGAACATTATTTCATCCCAACAAGACCTCCTAGCGTAAAGCAGAGTGGGTAATGTTTGACATGCTCTCATGCCACAGTTGGACCATCAGTACTGGCCGATTATTAGTTCCTTTGGGCCTTTTTACTAGTTAGGAGGAGTTGGGATCCATCCTAAGCCACTAGCGATCACAGAAAATAAAAGAGCAGAGATAATTTACAGCCTTCTTAATGCCTGTTATATCTTCCCGTAGAGGGCTTCCACTGGAAGGATTTGGAAATTGGAATCCTTGCTTTCTACCAGTGAAAAAGATTCAGTGCTATCTAGGGGGAGTGCTTTGACCACTGTGGATTCATGCTGTTTGCAACCTACTAGCATGGTGATCATCTTTAAATTAGACTTGGTGTTGCTTAGTCGTTTGTTCCAAAGTAGTTTGTTACACCAGTGGAGTCAAGGGAGTTTGTTTCAGATCCTGTCTTAGTGGTGCTGATCAAAATATGTATGGTAGAAAAATCATGAGATGTAGATGTACATGACAATGAGAAATGTAACGGTTTTGCTTTGAAATTTTAGAATCATTCAATTGTTGTTTTTTGTGGGGTTTTTTTTGGTGGTGTGTTTTTTTTCAGGCATGCTGTCCTTCTGAAGCAATAAAACTTCATGCAGATTAATCTGAAGTGCTTCTTTGTGATTATCAATATTTATACAGTATGTAGTACTGCTAGAAGCTAGTCTTATGGTTGCAAAACTGTAGGAATTCAAAGTGAGTAATTTTAACAGGAATTTGCAGCTATGGAACAGTTCTGGCTCACATTACTGCTCATTAGAAAAAAATGTGTAGTTAGAAAGGATAGTGTGAGACTTCTTTTCTCAATTGGCCACTTCTGTTAATCATCAGTTTGCCTTACATCTCCCCTGTGTGACCACCGTGAGGTGTTTCTTCCATCAGATGTAGTCATCATTATGTAGTTATGGCTCTGTCAGCATTTCCAGCCCCCTCCTGGAGGTGGGGAAGGGAACGATGTGGTAGAAGACACTAAAAATGTAGAAAATATTTTAAGGGGGTGAAAATGGAGAAGGTATTAGTAAAATGGTTGAACAGAATAACACACAGAAAAACAAAGCCAAGAAAAATAGAATGTGTGGAAGGAGTTGTTTTTGTCTTATTTAAACATAGCAAGGTGTTAGTTTTCATCTGGAAAGTACGGTCAGGTGTGAAATCAAGTCTGATTTGTGATGATGGACTGATCCTTTTTTTTTCTTTAAAGCATAAGAGTCTGCGGGAGCTTGAGCATGTGGTCAGAAACTGTAACTCCCAAGGCTTTACTCTGAAGGGAGGGAGTTTTCCCAGAAAAGCTGGTGACTTGACGGACAAAAATAATCAAATCTGTTTGACTGGGGAGTCATTAGCTAATCTGTGCCACAGGGACTTTTCTATATCACTTATTTAACAGAGCCAAACATCTATGTTCTGCCAAAAAAATCATAAAAGTTAAATAATTTGAGATTGAAAACATATTTCGTCTCAGCAGAAGAGCAACCCTATTTTTTCCTGCTTCCCCATCTAGAATATATTTTAGTCTTTTACTTGAGCAGTCTGACTCCTTAACTTGGGTTGTTCTGAAACAAATATCTATTATACTGGTAGTGGTTTTTATAGTCATTAGCTGACTCAATATTTCTTTTTATTGTGTACTGCGATGAATTTTCTTCTTCCTGCTGTGCATTTTTAAGAAAGGTACTTGTGTCTGGTAAATAAGATAAGTTGATCAGTGAGCTTGTTTTTAATAAGATGTCTCACTAGGTATTTATCTTAAATATTAATATAGTCAAAACCATAACATAGTAATAGATGTAGCTTTTTGCTTCAGGCTTTCATTTTCCTGCTCAAGAATGCCACTAGGCAGGCATTTTGTACCCAAACTGTATAGAATGTATATTTTTTTCCTTAAATCATGGCTAGCTCTTACTTTTGTCATGCTGATAGCAACAATAGCACTGCTTAAGTTGGCAGGGTGCACTGCAGGTTGCTTAAATACCTTCAGAAAAGGCTTAGATTATAGAGTCTAGAATGACAGTGGCTTTTATTTGTTGCCTTGGGTATATGCCACAGCAGTTTTACACTTTGTCAGAGTCAATGCTGGTGACTGAGGGAGTAGCAGAGTATTTGGTGTGAAACATTTCTAGGGCGGATGCAATCTAAATTTATGTTTTTTTTAAGGTCTCTGCTTGTTAGAATTTCATTAGAGATGTCAAAAATACAGAAAAAAATGAATTACTGTCACTTTCAGGAGCAACAGGTTGCTGTAGTTTCAAGTTGTTCTTTCCTAATATCATTGGTTTTGTTTAGTGTTGATGCTTAGGTTCTGTAGAATTATTTTGAGCAGCAGCATCTACAAGGGATTGTAGGCATTGGTTGTTACATCTATAATTCTAGCACAGCATTTCCGATAACCAGATTTTCTTAAATATTAACAAAATATTTTACGTTATTTGAGAACTACTATGTATTCATTGTATCACATCAAAAGTCTTGAGGCAAGGGTCCCTTCTGTAACCTTTACTTAAGGTGTAAAGCTTAGTAAGTATGGATTGGTGAGGTCACAGTATAATTTGGCTACAATACAGTTGATGTCAAATGAGCCTCTTTAGCTAATCTTTTGCAACACATTTTTGCATGGAATCTGCAAGACTGGGTGCTGTTTGTCAGAATACCTCTTATATCATCCAGAACATGTTCTTGTATGTAGCATAACACTGGAAGGGGCAGCAGACTTAATTTTTGCATTAACTTTTTTCCCCACAGAATGACAATGTTAAAATAACAAAATGGATGTCAGTTGACATACGGTAGTTTGATCCTAGTAGGCCATATGTCATTTCATGTACCAATGATTTTGTGCAATTCACTTGAAGTCGATGTAAGCAAAGTAAAAACAGACAGAGTAGGGTTTAAGTCTGACCTGTCGCATGATTCCATCATAAATCAAGTTTAACTTAGTAAGAATAGAATTAAATTCACATGATAGTTGCACAAGAATGTGACTCGTTCTGTTTTGTTCAAGTAGACTTAAAATATGTCACATGACTCATTACTAATAAATAGGTTATCCCTGCTCTCTATCACCTTTACTTCCCAAATCTGTCCATAGTGCAGCACCCAAGTCTTATCCTTTCTTTCCATTTCTATTGGAAAGAAATAAAAATAGAGATCTTATCACTCATTTTTCAAGGCCTTATATAGCTTTGGGACTTATGTCCAAGTGTAGAGGCCTGAATAACCAAGGTAATGAGAACAGTTACACTGATAGAAAGAGCAACTATGTGGGTTTTTTCATTGCAAACCTTCACCAAAAGCTATGTCTACAAAGTAAACCAATTAAAAATCTGCATATAAAGCTATATTTAACAAGAATGACAGTAGGTATTTTGATATATGGTGGCAGAAAATTGATAATCAACACTTTGTCATAATTTTGCATGACATTAGTTTTCATTATTAAAGCTATACTTTAATTTTCAAAATGATTTCTTTTTTTAAATTGAGTTTTTCTTTCATCCATTTGTGACTGGGTTTTTCACTGTTCTGATGGATGCAATAATTCACAGTAATGTTGTATAGAATTACTAATTTGTTGGTCTGAGCTCTTAAATGAAAAATGTTTTTGTCTTGTGTAGCTTTTAAGAACTTGATTCAGTTTGTTCTGCTTTCCATTTGTTCTGTCTCGTAATACTGTTACTTCCTTCTGCCTCTTCAAACCATGATGACAAGTTTTCCGTTATGTTTATTTAAGTTTATTTCTCTTAGAGTGTGAATATAGAGAAGCTGCAGGGGTCATCCATCAACATAACCACAGAAGATGGGCTGCTGAAAACTAAGTATCTCTATGCAGAGTCTTCATCTCTCTCATCAGTAACTGGTGATATTCTGCTGGGAAGTATTCATGGTAAGAGCTAGGTTAGGAAAATACTGCCAAAAATGGAGTTGCTTTAAAGGTATTAATAATATTCACAGTAACAAAAGCGCTGATGTTGTTAGTCTATCACTAAACAGTTAGCTATGCACAGTACGTGAACGAAACAATTCTATGTTTATTAGAGGTTGAGTTAAGGAGAGTTAATTTACCATATAGCATGTTGCATTTATCTTTTAAAATAATTTTATAAGTATGGTTATAAAATAGGAAAATGGTGTTTGTTATAGGAAAGAAACATACCAAACATACTAAAGATGTCAAAACATTTTTAAAATAAGCAGTAACAATTATACTAAAAAAAGTAGTAAACAGGCTCTGCACCACATGCTTTATTTTCCTCTTCAGAAAATCTTACAGCTTCTACTAAGACTTATGGTAGATCTTGGTTCGATCTCAAAGTTTTATGCACAAATTGTGTGTGTTGACAATAGTGTGGTGATGGTTTCTGTTCTTGGGGGAGGGAGGGAATCTCTCATCCATCCACCCTTTACTGCCCTTCATCTAGAACTAAAACTAATTAACTTGAATGTCTCAAGTTAATAGGAGTCAGGGTTGGAACCTGAGGTCTTCCTAATTTAACAAAATTCCCACTGAATTCTGTCAGTGCCATAATGTGTTTGTGATTTTTACATTAAGTAAAACTGAAGATGTACAAACGTTGAAAATTACTTAAGTCAGTCCAAGTTCCAGATTTCTAGCTATACACCTTATAAATAATAAGGTATATAGCAATTTTGTGTTATGTTGCTTCAGAAAGGATTTTTCATCTTTAAAGGAACAGCTCCATTGTCTATTCATAGTAAACACAAAACTGTTTTCTAAACCTGTTGGGTAAGGTTCACTTCAGCATGCCTTGGCAGAAGTAAGATATTTTTGTTGTATTTTTCTGACATGTAGGTTTTATTGCTACAGGTACTTCTAGCCAATAAGCTGCTTTTTTTTTTTTTCTTAACTTCAGACAGTTATAATGATTGTGTGGGGTGATCAGTTTGTGAGCACGTTCATGCCTCTGTGCACATCCAGAAGTTTTTTTAATCTTGGTACGAAAATGTAATAATAACAGCTGTTGTTAGTGACATACTTCTGTAGTAACGCATCATTTGTAATTTCACTAAAGAACAGTGTGAAAACAAGCACAATTGTATCCAAATTATACATTACTTCAGCGTTATTTTCATGGGCAGTCTACTAAATGGGTCTGGAATGCCTAACATTATTTTAACTGTTTCTTTTAAAAACAATTGGTCTATGTTTTTCACATGCTCACAGCTTCAATGAAGTCAAGGGAACACAAATTTTACAAACATGACTGAGTGCTGTTTTGTTGTTAAAACCTGGGCTGTGTAATCCTAGTTAGTGCCCAGGCTTTAGTGGAAACTTGGCTCTGGAAGGGCATGAACTGAATTTCGTCTTTCAGGTCCTGATTTTAAACCAACTCTGTGAAGAAACATTGGTTATTTTGTATTGTAGACCTTGCGCAATCCTATAGCATAGGTATTGTCTTCAATACTTATACTGCCTACTGCCTCAGATTATGTAGACATAAGCATGTAGTTAGAAGTAATTTTTTTTCTTTGCCATTGCAAAATACACAGCAGAAAAAAACACCAATACTGCCATGATACAAATCAGCTGTGGATTAAAGATTGTGGACAATGACTCCTGGTCAGAGTTGCGGTCATTGGCTTAGTGTTCAAGTGGAGATCAGTAACGGGTGGTGTTCATCAGGGGGTTGGTATTGGGACTGGCACTGTTTAACATCTTTGTCAGTGACATGGGCAGTGGGATCAAGTGCTCCCTCACCAAGTCTGCCGATGGCACCAAGCTGTGTGGTGTGGCTGACACGCAGGAGGGAAGGGATGCCATCCAGAGGGACTGGGCAGGCCTGAGAGGTGGGCCTGTGCTACCTCATGAGGTTCAACAAGGCCAAGGGCAAGGTCCTGGAGCTGGGCTGGGGCAATCCCGAAGCACAAACCCAGGCTGGGTGGAGAATGGATTGAGAGCAGCTCTGAGGAGAAGCCTCTGGGGGTGTTGGTGGATGAGAAGCTCAACATGAGCTGGCAATGTGTGCTTGCAGTCCAGATAGCCAACCTGTGTCCTGGGCTGCATCAAGAGAAGTGTGGCCAGCAGGGCGAGGGAGGTGATTGTGCCCCTCTGCTCTGCTGTCGTGAGGACCCCACCTGGAGCTCTGCGTTCATCTCTGGGGTCCCCAGCACAAGAAGGACATGACCTGTGTGAGTCCAGAGGGGGACTGTGAAGGATAATCAGAGGGCTGGAGCACATCTCCCATGAACACAGGTGGAGAGAGTTGGGGTTCTTTTCTCTTGGGAAGAGAAAGATTTGGGAAGACCTTATAGTGGCCTTCCAGTACCTAATAGGGAGCTACAGGAAAGCTGGAGAGACGCTCTGTCAGGGAACGTAGTGATAGGACTAGGGGTAACTTAAAGGGGGGTAAGTTTAGATCTTTGGAAAAAAATCTTCACTCAGAGGGTGGTGAGGCCCTGGCACAGGCTGCCCAGAGAAGCTGTGGATGCCCCATCCCTGGAAGTGTTTGTTAAAGGCCAGGTTGGATGGGGCTTTGGGCAGCCTGGTCTGGTGGGAGGTGTTCCTGCAGGGGAGTTGGAGCTAGATGATGTCCCTTCCAACCCAAACCATTATATGATTCTATGATTTTGCAAGCAATTGTACCTAATGTAAAAGCTAAGTAACTCATATACTCAATAGGACAGCTAGATTGAAGTGTCGAGAAACATGTTGTTCCACCATATGTTTTGGATCTGAGGTCACTGTATTCCTAAAGATACCCCTTAGAAGGGGGGGTTACAATTTCTGTGGAAATATCAGTGAGTGCATGTGTTTTTTTCCTGTAGCTTTAGCCGTAGCTGAAGGGAAGGGAGCAAATGATCCCAGTTGAAAAGGTCTTGCAGGGCGACATAAAGGTAGAGAGAATATGCGTGTAGGTATTCTTACCTGCTCTTTTGCTTGCTTAATCAGAGCAACCCGAGCCTCCTGAGATTCACTGAAGCAAACAAAAGGAACATAATGGAAATGTAAAGTGATGGCCTTATTTATACACTAAAAGCCATTGTTTGTCCCTGGGCTTATACTGACCCCAACTTGCAAAACTGTATTTTGAAATTCTGTGGATGTGTTAGATGACTCTTAAGAAGCATCAAATAGAAAGTAAACAACGCAAACAAAAAGCATTAAGATGCTGTTACCAATTTCCATTAAAACTATTAGATTTTGGACCTTATAGTATTGTGCTACAGTACTGAATTCAGTTGAATGTAATAATCAAGCTAGTAGTTACTCTTTCCTTCTTTGCTGTGGATGTATCCAGAAAATAAATGGTTATGTTAAATTCCAAGTTTTGGCCTACACGGAACAATTACTTGACCAAAAGTATGCTTCTGTGCACGGTTCATAGACAGAGCAGGTCACAATGCAGCAGGAAACTCCTATCTGCTTTGAAAGCAACTTTTGTTCTAGCTAAATGTTTGAAATGAGGCTATCATACTAATAGTTTACCGTATGCAGTTTTAGTCATGTGTGCAATACGTTTGTGACTGATACGAATTTGATTTCTAAATGTTAAATGTTCTTCAAGGATCTGGTTAACAAAAAAAAACTAAACAAACAACAACAAAAACACAGAAAAAGAACAGACCAGTAAATCTACAAGGCCCAAGAGGTATACTGAGACTGTGCATAATCTTTGGGAGTTTCTATTTGATAAAACCCTAGGCTTCTTGTAGATCGTACAAAAGTAAGTACTAGTAATGATAAGTAATGGTAATGATATAGTGAGCCTTTAAAAAAACAGGCTAATGGTGAGGCCAAACATCTTTCAAATTCATTGAAAAATGGCTTTGTTTCAACTCTGGTTATCAGATCATCTTATTATTATATGGTACATGCTTGAAATTTAAGACTATAAATTGAAGACCATTGATGACCAGTTTCTTTTCTAGCTTTTAGCCCACGGACTGCTAAGAAATACATAGCAGGTCATATAGAGTGGAATGCATTCTACTCTTCTGGCTGTTGGGTCTTATTTTAGGTCTTTTATACTTCAGGGGGGAAGATGGAGTGGTAGGAATGAACTGTCATGGCTTATTTTTTTTATTTAAAGCACTTTTTTTTTTTGAGGCAATTGCACATGTATAACATACATGGAAATGTGATAGCTTCTTCCAACTTTTAGACTGTTAACAGAAAAGCCACTGTGTTAAGTGTGCATCCCTCATCCTTCCAGGTTCTATTGATGCTATAGGTAAAGGGGAAGAGTGTGTATTTTGAGATTAATGATATACCCAAGCCTGTTCAGAGTAATGCAAGGTCGGTAAGAGACCATTCTATATTTTATACCTTGTATGCTCTTTTGTTTGATGTTCTCCAGTCTGCCCAACACACAGAGATCTCTAGATTCAATGGAGAGTGTTGGCAGTGGTTTGTCACGTACTTAACAATAATAAGTTTGGAGAGAGTAGGTAATGTTCAGTGATTTCATCACTGATATGTTCAGGCAATTTTCCAGAAAATAGCCTTTAAAGATAAAGGAAAAAGTCCCCCAGATTTGTGGAGGAGGGATATACACATATATTTATGTATACAAAAAAGGACAATAGGATCAGTAATAAAATATCTTTTATTAAAATTCTGTAATAATCCATAGTGCTGTTGCAGGCATCTGACCAAGTTTTGTTTGTTTGTTTGTTTTAAAAGAAGACCAACAATTAAATAAGAAAAGTGCTCAATTTGAGTCTCTGCTTTTCTCACCATCACACCCAGTCTGTGCCTTAAAGCTTTATTCAGAATATTTTTCTTGCCTAGAATTGCTTCTTTGTTTCCCACATGTGTTGAGATTTTTGTTTGTAAAGCAATAATAATGAAGCAATATAATTCATTTATATTGTTTCGGTTTTGCATGCAATGCAGATATACTACTGTAACTATAACAGCCTTGTATAGGATCACTGTATTTTAGTCTAAAATTTGAGAAACCAGTCAGAAATAATCCACTTTGAATGTTAAAATGTCCTTTTTTTTGTCTTAATAGGTAACACCAGCCTTCAGACCAAAACAGGGAGTATCACAGTAGGTAGGTCTTGTTTTCTTTCTAAGAAAAGGCTTCTTTCTCTCTCTTTTGTCACTCTTCCCTTCTCCTTTTTAAATTGAAATATTCAAAGGGAAAGTAAAAACCTGATTTTCTAATAATCCTCAGATGTTTGTCCTCACTTTTTCAGGAGTATCATTCATTGTTGTGTATTTGAAGGATATTTTCCAAACTTGGCTCTGACTTGGCTCTTCTGTAGTTATGCAACACCAATTCTAGCTTTCTACCATACCCCCTGGGCTTTAGCATTAGACTGAGTCTAACTATTTTCTTTTAGATTAAGTTAGGACAAAAGGACATGAGAAAAGACTAAGTGTACATCAAATGCAATTACTTTGCCTTTAACCCAGTTCTCTTTTTTATTTTAATTATTAAATATGTTTAACTTTCATATCATGTAGTAATACTCATTGATGTTTTACATATTGTGAGGTAGAAAAAAAACTTGTAAGAGCTTAGTGTTTCCAAACCATAGTATTGATCACTGAGTTTTCCATTCAGAAAGAAAAGTAGCTTTTAAATCTTCTCTCAGCAATTGAGTTTTTATACAGTGGGATAACTGAGTTATCAATTAGATTATATATCGTACTATGACAGTATTAGGGCACCTTCTGTGTTGATGTACTGTAAATTGGTCAAGAAAGTGAGAAACTCAATTTCTGGTTATTTCTGTGGCATTAAACTGAAGTAATAGAGCTGTAGACAACACTCAGTGAATCTACCTTGAAGGATTTCCCCTTCTGTAAGTAAATTTGGTTATAGACCTCAATCTAAGACTTCTGTTAACAATAGTGACTACAGTCACTAACTAGGCATCTTGCAGGGACAAGATGTCCTGTCAGAACTCTTCTTATGTTTCTAAGCAATCTATATTAATATTCTTGGAAAATAAATGCAATGCACATTTTTATGAGTTAGTCATTAAACCACAGAATTAAATCAAGCTTGCTAGTCTGTTTTTCCTTCAGTTAAATAAACTCATAGACTATGAAGAGCGTTTGAACATTTCTTAACACAGGAGGTAGTTTTTTCCACCAACAGATGATGATTATTTTCCATTAATTAACCAGGTTCAGCTTAAACGTTAAGAAGCATGAACACTGAGAAGCATTGAACTGACTTTATTTTTCAGATTTCAATTCTGAAAATGTTAGTTACAGTTAATCTTTTCTTAAAGAGCATCAGCCCCTCCACGCTTTAATTTTGTATGGATTTTTCCAAAGGCTTTTTCCAAAAGACCTTTAAGATCCAGTGGTTCAGCTCCAAAAACTTGAAAATGTCAAGTTTTAAGTGAAAACTTTTCACATATGAGGAATTCATGCCACAAGGTGACTTGTTGGATTGCCAGAGAGCTGATGGGGATTTGCTGATAGCTGTAAGAACAGCTTAGGTCTTCTGTCTTCCTTAGCTCAATTTTCATAGGCATATAGTTACTTGTTTTACTGCAGGCAGAAATTTATCAATTAATTGAAAAATGCAACCATCACTATTCTATGATCTCTAGATTTTGAGGATGTATTTTTCTGAGAGATTTATTTACAATTCAAAACATAGTTGAGAATGCTGGATTTTCTTTCACAGTATTTGAGAGAAAGTACAACAAAAAATTGGGGGAAATTCTTGGATAATTCTGTATTAACAGGAAACCAATGCTCCTGGCTTTTGCTCTATAATGTACTGGGTATTTTTCGTTATTTGTAGAATAGTTCTATCTCATATATTTATTTTGCGATTACTTGTTTCTGTTTAAAAAAATAAATCTTTTTTTGAAGACCCTATCCAAACCTCAGCTTAATGTTAAGCATCTAACATATGATAGGGTTTCACACTGACATTGTTCAAATACTAAAGTAGGGATAACTCTTTTTGTCAATACCATGTACTTTGTTAGCTGCAGACAAATTGCTTTCCAACCTCATACTAAAAGCTTTCTACTTCTAACACATGTTTTGTGGATTTTGGATGGGTTCTTAATTTGAAACAACCAGACCTATTTTTACTTCTAGTTTACATTATTACTTAGGAAAGCAATTAGAAATCTGAATACTCTTACAAAAAACAGTGGAGTACTTTGTTCTTAGAGCTAATTTGATCTTTAAGTTTCTACTTGGCGCTTCTCCACTGGGTTGACTCCAGTTCACAAATGTCTCTCTTCTGTTAGGAGTCCTGGAACTGGATGCTGTGTTCTAGATGTAGTCTAACAGGTACTGAGTCAAGGGGAATAATCTCCTCTGTTGATGTACTGGCCATGCTCCAGTTAATGCTGTCAGGGATTCTGTTGGCTTCCTTTTCTGCCAGGGCACAGGGCTGGCTCGTGTTCAGTCCAGCCAAAACTTGTTTATTCCTCAACGTTGTTGTCATCGTCTGATTATTCTCTACTCTGCTGCCAAGCCAAATTTTACCCTACCAGCTCAAGATAAATAAATAAATAAATAAATAAATAAATCTTTATTGCTTACATTTTGCCCAAGGGAAACAACTTCTAGGTTTGGGTAAGAATGGCACTGATTTATGGGTAGCAGGGGCGTACTCGGGAAAGCACACAGACATCCACGAAAGTTCAGTTGTCTTTTTTCTTCCCCAAACAGATGCCAGTGTCAGTTTGAGGTATTCTGCTAACTTCTTCCTTCAAAAACCATGCTGGAGTACCAAAAGGCTTTTGTGACTTAAAATGACAGACTTGCTGTCTAAAATGAACTGAAACCTAGCAATTCAGAGCAAAGTTTCAACTCTTATCTGAGGACTATATTCAAATATCAAGTAGTTACTATCTAGGTTTTTGAGAAAATGAGGTAGTCTAAGACCATCTGTTGTGATTTGTAAGTGTTATCATAAGGCAGTTCTCTCGTACTGAGACAGAAGGCCTAAATTCTGAGAGAGCATTGATTGTGAAAAACAACATTTAGACATTCATAGAATCATAGGACGGCTTGGGTTGGAAGGGACCTTAAAGATCACTCAGATCCAACCCCCATGCATTGCGCAGGGATGCTATTTGTTGAAGATTGTCATTTTTTCTTAATGTAGCTAATCTTTAGACTTTCTATATAATACCTTTTTGCAAGATTACTCCATGAAAACTGAGTTCTGGGCATTTTTCATGTACTCCTTAGAGTGATATCAGCATCTTATTTCATGTGTCAAGTCTTTATCTTAGGCAAGGTATTGTTCTTAATGCTTAACAACTTTGTTGAGGACATCTTGCTTCACTGGTTTGTTTTGTTGTTGTTGGGTTGGTTGGGTTTTTTTTTGGTAGTAGGAAATACTTAAATAACTGAAGTTGCTCAAGAGTGCAACTCTTAAACAGATGGTCATCTGTTCTGTTTCCAGCAGAACAATTCATCCTTGTATTTCCCCTTGAGTTGTCAGTCCTAAGGAAACTGAATTTGAATTATGCACTCTTTCATGTTTTGGCTCTCAGTTACTCACATTAATCTCAGTTAATGGGCATGTATTTAAATATAAAAATATATTGCCTTACTTTTGTTCTGTCATAACTGTAAATTGTATGCTGTCTCTATCATTATTAAAGTTATGTATTTTGTCCTACCGGATTCTGTTATTTAATACAATTTCTCCTGTTGAAATATTTATTTGAATTTGCCTTTTTCAGTTACAGAAATTGTCTGCACTGGTTTTATCCACTTTTTTGTCCTGTTCTTCCTCCTTGCTTCTCATTTGTTTAAGTTAAAAAGATGCAAAACTTACACAGCATCTTTAATAGACTTTGCAGAAGTGACGGGCAACTTTAAGTCTCTTGGTATTATTTATATCTTATTTCATATGCAATTAATATTAGATATGAACATTAATTTATTAATATCTTATTAATATGTTAATATAATAAGATCCAGTATTAATAGATAATATAATATAATAATTATTATAGTATTAATGTATTATTAATGTAATAATAATGTATTGATACAGTAAATATTAATCTATTAATATCTAATTTCAAATTATTCCATAAGTCACATTCAGTTGTTTCTATAAAACATATTTCCTGTTGTTTCTGTAGATCAAAGCTGGGCATGCAGTTTAATGTCATCTTTAGTCTTTGGTTAATGCTGCCAAGGTTTGAAACTTGGCTGTAGTTTTTTCTTCCATTAAAATAAAAAACCTTTCTGTTCACTGTTGTACTATAGAAGTCAAAATCTGTCAAGTCATCCTCCCAAACAGTGTTCTCCAAGGGCATTCTACTTTGTCTCAAGGATTTTTATTGTTTTGCATTGTTTTTGTTTTTGTTGTTTTTTGTATTTTCCAGGTAAATCTGTGCCTCAGTGAACCTATACCTATTGCCATCTTCCTGCATCCTATTTTTTTTTTATACATTCTTCAGACAGAATCCAATCTCTCACAAATTTATGGTTCTATTATTTTCTTGAAGAATTGAAAATGGAAAAAAACAGCAAAAAATAAATCTTGTAGTGGGGCTACAAAAGGCATCTTTCCACTGTGAAGAACTTTACAGGAGCCACTTTCACATTTGAAGACTGGGAGTTAGGAAGGATTCACTAAATAAACATTAGTCTCTGTAAAGTACCATCAAGTGATGGTGTTGTACAGACTGCTAGCAGTTGTTCTCCCTGAAGAGGGTCACTGTTGTATCATAGGAGCTATTTTTTTCAGCAGTGCAGAAAAAAGAACTAATAGTATGTTTGTTTAAAACAGAAGAATTAGAGGCTGGATATTTCCTGTATCAGTTGCCAACAAATCTCTGACAAAGTTATGTGGATATTCAGTGATTGGCTGTTAGTACATTTGACTGGGGGTATTTGCAAAAATAGCTGATATGGGAAATTGTCTATCTGCTGGGACCAGCATTTTTAATAAAAGGTTGATTTGTATAAACTTCACCTGTTCCAGTATGATTACCTGTTTGAATATTAGGAACATCCTTTTAAAAAGTTATCAGAAAATGTTTCATTGTGACTTACTTACCCAAGCAAAGCTTTTCCAGTTCATTAATTTAAATTGACAGAGTTAATTTGTTCTTTCAGCTATGGACCAGAACTTCTTTAACATAAAATCCTCTGAGATGGGAAATGCATTCACATCCAATTCTAGTTGTTCTTGTTGTTTTGTTTTGCTGGCCAAAGATGGTGTCAGTTTCTCAGCTGACCAAATGTGGATTGGCTACTTTTTCTCTTTTATTACATTAACCTCCCCCAAAAAATTCATTTTAGCTGAGGGATGATAATCCCTTTCCATGTTTCGACTGCTGAAATACACTGATCTTCCCCATCTGTGCTTGGGATCAGAAAAGCTCCAGATGAGTTTGTTTACGTACAGAAAGCTTTAATTAATGCTAGACATCCGTGTTATGATAAATCAAGCTTATTCTCCCATGAATATTTTCACTTTTAAAATAACAAGTTTCAGTCTGGTTTGATTTTTGTTGTTTTAGCGAGTTCTGAAAACTCAGCTGTGCTTCTTGTTCTATACACCCCCAGAAACTAAGAACATTCTCATTCAGTATTTCAAGATTCTTGGCTAATATTTTTGTTCCTAATAGTCTTTGTAGTAACGTGCTTCACTTTTGCTCATGTACATATGTAATTTTTCTTCGCTTCTCTACAGTTGCTTCACAACTTCTTTGCAGTTTTTATCAGCAATAAGTCTGTTCAGCAGTTAGAAAGGTAGCTGCCCAGGACCTCACTGTAATATTGTGGAAATCTGTGTGCTTACAACTGGAATAGGTTGCAAATTATTAAAGTCAACTTCTCAAGTATACAAATAATGCTTTTTTTAAGGGCTTCTATTTCTAGAAAAGGTTGTTCAGAAAGTTTTGTTGTCATAAAGTACAGCTAATAAGCTATAGAATAAAGTGTACGTCTGTTTATTCCAGGGCAAAGAATGCATGTTGATTCCCTATGTGCATTACAATTACAGTGGTTATATCAGACATTTGTTTAAAATTCAGAGTTCTTCCGTGTAACCACATGTTAAACGCACAACTGCTTGTTGTTTGCATGTGGTAACTTTCCTGGGTAAAGTTTCCTCTGTACAAAGTCCAAACAAATGTACTCTTTTGGAAATTAAAATAAATCTTAAATGTTTCAGATTTTATGCTCAATCAGAATACAAAAGTGAATTTGTCCTTGTGGAAAGAAGTAGGCATTGTTATACTTGGGCAGAAAGAGCATTGTTGAGCTGCAGTAGATCCTACAAGTCCTGCAGGGGTTTGGCTTTGAGACCAGTGCATGCCATAATTCCAGATTGGGAAGATAAGTTTCACGGAGAAACCTGTTTTTCTGAGCAAAGTCTGACATTCAGTAAATGAGTAGAAGCATCAACTGCTTCAACATACAAAAATTGATAAAGTCAGTTCAAACAACAAAGGAAGATTCTAGCAAATATTTATTTAAACAGAGTGAACAACAGCACATTTTTAAATCAATGAATGATACACAAATCCCTTCTTTTTCTTTTTAGATTCATCGGATGGAAGTCTAAAAGCTTCTACACATCAAGGGTCAATAGATGTTTATGTCAGTCAACTAAGAGAAGTGGATCTGAAATCCCAGAAAGGTTAGCAAACTGCAACAAATACGTTTTTGTAGCAACTAATGATGTAAAAGAAAGATTAGAGATTTTTGTTCATCTGTCTAGAAAGTACAGTTTCATGATTCTTCATTACCTCGTTTCTTTACCTCGTTACTAGATACTTCTAGTAGAGTAAACTCTGTAAGGGACAATGATACTTAAAATGGATTACAGGATTTTTATATCTTTAATCCTTTATCTTGTCAGTCTGCCCAGCAGACTTCTGCAGAGTTAACTTGAATTACAGTCTTTGTCTTGAAAAAGTTTACTCTATGATACTAGTATGTATATTATTTATATATATATATGTATATCTTATATATGTGTACATAAGGGCAAACATCGCGCATTGTATTGCTTTTTCTTGCCTTTTCTTGATGAAATATCCAATTATTGAAATAGGCAGAAAAACAGAGATGAGAGTGTCTTACTCAACCATTCTTCCTTTTTGTTTTTTCCTCATGATTACTTGCTGAAACTTTGCTTTCTAGTTAAAAGGTCACTCCTAAAGTTGGATTCATAGTTTTGCCATTCAGAAGTTATGATATTGTAAATAACAAAGCCCTGAAGACATCTTATTTATCTTACTTTTGGAGAAAACAAACAAACAAACAACAACAACAACAAAAACTACAGCATTCTTGTGTTAATATGATGGTGTTTTAAAGGAATACGGTATTTGGTAGTTTCCTCTGGTTGTCTATGAGATAATCTTATGCCCTATTAAAATTTAGCAGTTAACCAGAAGGGAAATAATGAAGGAAATACATTGGAATCATTATGTGCCATTCTTCTGCACATACTAAGGTGGTTCCATTGGTACAAATAAGTTTATTTTTGTATTATTTCTTAGATACATTTTGAATCACTAAGTTACGTCTCTTTAAATTAGTAGTAAAGAGGAATGTATTTAATAAAAGCTAATTCATGTTACTTTCAAAACATTGCCTGACATCTCTTCTGGCAGCACAGTTTAGTATAGGCAAAGTTGATAAAATTCTGTTTTCATTTACCCTGTAACTTTGGAGTAGCTGCTGACAGCTGCTGAGTAGAAAATGTCCAGTCTGTGATAAATTAGTTGCATGTGTTGGATTTTATGAGTCACATCACTGAGCTACTCTCCAAGGAGGACCTAAAGAAAAGACCTTTCCCCTTTCTTATCCTAAGGCTTCTGTGAATCCAGCAAAATTTAGGCCTAAATTCTACTGGCAGTTATTTCTTCTTCAGGAGTATTCCAGGCAATTGATTCGTCTGAATTTAAATTGCATAGTTAGGGTTGCTTTCTGACTGCTACACAATTATTACATCAGTTTTATCATCATGTTCTGTTTCAGCATTGGAGATATATTTAAAGAAATGTTTGTGATTTTCTACGGTGATTGTTGAAATTGGATAGAAGCTAAGAAGTGTCTACAGAGCTTATATTTTAAGTACTGCTTGGTTTTTGTTTCAATGTGTAGGATGCAACCTCCAAACATTGTGACTAATTCCAAGTATGACTAGCAGTGGTAGGTTGGGGGCCCAGGACTTGCCTTCAATCTGATGCATAGAAGCATGTATTTTGGGGAAGCAGATGTCAGAATTTCCATTTTTTTTGCTAGTGTTAACAGACTGTAAGTGGCATCCCATCGTTCCAGAGAAGCAATTCTTTTATAATGTGCTTGTATTGTACTGCGTGCTGGATTCATCATCAAATACCATGTCCATGCTCAGAGATGTCACTATGCAACTAGAAAATGAACCTAGAGTCATAATACTTGTTGAAGTCTGTTTTATTTGCTTCCCTTGGCAATCCCCACAATAAGGTCCTCTAGTGAGATCTAGTGAGATGCTAGGAGTGTATGTTAATTTTCATAGTGTCTGAAGAAATACTGTGATCCCATTTTATAAATGTGACATGCCTTCATTTGACATAACCAGGATAATGTATCTGTGTTTATCCTTTGACAGGAAAAAAAGTTAGTGTGTCTGAAGGCTCTTAAAAAATTGTGATTTACCTTATCTAAATAATTGCCTGTTTTGTGATTTGATCCCAACGTTGATCTAACTCGCTTTCATTTAAATTTATATCAGGTTCTATTACAGTCAAGGTACCTGCCTCTCTCAAAGCCTATTTAGAGTTGTCTGGAAGAAAAGTGGATGTGAGCTCAGAGATCCAGTTAAAAGATACACAAAGTGCCTCCAAAGATGATCACGTTACTTTAAGTGGTAAGGCTTACTAATCTTGGCTACCATTAAATGTCTGTTTGGCCTCAGTCAAAGACATCTACACTTTCGTTTGAGTTTATTGCTCTTGGCCTCTTCCTGTTTCATCTGTTTCAGCTTCACACATCTGCTTGTGGCATTGAACTCTCCATGTTACTACATGGCTCTTTTGTTTTGTTTGGTAAATGATTTGTGAATACAAACAACTGCTGCTCTAACAAAAATCTTAGAGCCAAATTCACCCTCAGCATTATTCCAGTGAATTCGTGAGAAGTAAGTCAAGGCTGAATTTGACCCATTGCTTTGTTGGCTCAAGCAATCACATATAATAAATCACCAGGGAATGTCTATTAAAATACAATTAAAATTGTTCTTCGTGCATCTCCATTTGGAGGTTGAATTAAAAGGTATATGTGGCATATTTAAAAATGTATGATGTGTTAAACAGAGTGGGTTAGTCTGAGAAGTGATGGGGGGGAGATAGCTGGGAGAAGAGCAGAAGTTGGAGTATGGAGGAATAGAGTACATGGAAAGGTGCCTGTGGTTCCTGGAAACATTATTCTAATGCATTTATTTCGAACATGTAAACCCCGAGTCTTGCTGTTTCCTGCTTCAGAAAACCATTGTCAGGGTGTGTATTTCTCTCCCTCCAGACCTGTCCATCCAGAATTTAAGGCTGTTAGTGTTACCAATTACTCACTTTGCTCAAGAGGCAATGTTAATGTAATGTCGGAAGGCTCCAGCTTTGTTTGTGGAAGTGTTATGTCAGTATGACCTGATATGATAACAGAGTGGGTGAAGCTTTGAGTTTTTCTTTGTTTTAAAGCTGTGAGAATATGTACAAAACTTCTTTTTTTCCCCCCATTTAAAAAGGTAATTCTTAAATCCTCAAAGTCAGGAAATACTAGAAATATATGTACATAACCTTAATATGTAACCTGCTTGTATGCAATAGTCTTGAAATGTATAGGCATATCTCTTCCTGCCTTGAACAGTAATTAGCATCCAAGTTTATTAGTGGTAATTAACTACAGCTTTTTAAAAACAATGGTTAAAACTCCTCAGGCTAGTAACCTGCAGAAGGGTCCCAGATTCCAGTCATGCTCTAGGTAACGAACAGCCTCAGCAGTAAAGCAACACAATTTCCAGTGAATGAGGACCACTGGCCGGTCATCTTGCTGCTCTGGCAATGCTAAAGATAAGATCAGTGTTTCAAATATACACAGATGAATGGCTTCTCTGGGTTCGTGATCCAGTCAGTGTTTATATAGCGCAGTCATCGCTGAAGTGGAAGCAATTTTTCAGCCTACCATACTGTATATAAATGATCCTGGCAGTTTAGGCCAAAAGCGGCTCCAAATTAGCTAACCCTCACATACACGGATCTCAAAGCCAAAATCAGCACCAGCATTTGGCCACTGATCATAGTTGGTTTTAAGAGGTTACAGCATTGTGCAAAAAAAACTATTACATGCAGATGAAAAATGATCAGAATACAGGTAAATGGAAAATAGACCCTGGGAGGAATTTTCTGCAGGATGCAATTCAGCTAAACTAGTGCTGGGCTGAAATGGCTTGTCTTCATTTTACACTAGGGATTTAGCTCTGTTGAGTGTTTTCTCTCATAATACAACCAATGATCAGATTCTCCTGCTCTTTTCTCTGCTCTATAAGAAGCAACAAACCTGAAGGGAGATGAATTATTTGGTTTTGGCACGTGCTTTGTTCCTTTTCTTACCCTTCTGGAAATAGCTCTTTGGCTTTCTTTGCCAAGTAAGTTAGTAATGTTCCTTTGACATGGCAAGGGAGAAGCTTCCTGCTTCTCCTTCTCTTTACTTTACCCAAAGGGACACTTACTCTTTCTGCAGCCAAGCACTTGCCCCTTCGTTCTCAACAATCACTTCTTAAAGGTGATATATAAGAATATTCTTCTACGAGTAGATGCTGAAATAATTAAAATAACTTTTAATACTCTTTCTATATCATAAAAACATTGTTTACTGTTTAAGTTTTAGCTACAGAGTCTATAGCGATCTTTGTTTAGCTGCAACTAAATAAACATATAATGGTGAGAGGGGAGGGGTTTTGCTGAGTGGGAAAAAAAAAAAACTTATTACGAGAGGCATGGCAGCTCAGATTTTTATGCTTCTGAGGTCAAAGGTTTGTTTAAAAATAGATGGCTTTTCAGAGACTGGCCAGTTCTCATGTGGGTAACACTGGAACTGGCTGCCTTCAGGAAGCTTTCTTTGCCTCTGGGAGTATCGTGTGAGAGGTTAGAGAGGAGGCTCTCCAGTGAGAGCGCTGTGGGTTGAGTGAATGTGCACCTCACTATCACCGGCTCCAGGAAGGCCTTCGCTCCTGCTCTTACTGCAGCAATCACCCATGTCCTCACCTTGCTTCAAGGCTCCCACTTCCACACTGAGTGAGGAAGGCAGCACGCTACAGTCCCCCAAGCAATGACATCCAGGGTTCTGCAAGATAGCCAAGGAAAAGATCTGGGTGTAATCAAAGCAAGAAGATGAGAGCCTGGAGTGAGAGCTTCAGAGGCAGAGTGATGAGACTGTGAAAAGGTGTTTTATTTTTTAGAAGAAAGAGTAAAGGGCTTGTCTGCAAAATTGGCATGCCTGTCAAAGAAGGGATAGAAGCAATGCCAGGGAGTTTATTCTTTTGCAAGGATAATCTGCAAGGATAAGGCATCTGTTTCCTTGACATCAGTAGGCACTCTTGTAGGGTGGTATAATGACAGTTACAAAACCAGATTTTTCATGCTAAGCACTGCTCCAGCTTCTATCTGTAAAACATTTCTTTGGCCATCTAGTTTGAGAGTATTTGAGTAATACCAGTAACTTCTGGTGGTAATCATGTTAAGACATTTCTTTTACATTCCTTGGTGGAAAGGGTAGGAAGAGAGGGTTCTTATGACAAGGTTCTGTAGCCTTCTCAAGCCCTTAAATCTTGCTGCTAAATGACTCTGCCTTACCTGTTTCTCCAGGTCTGCCTGTATTCTTATATCAGCTCATTTAAGAAGCCTGCACAGACCATTAACTATATCTGGAACTAAATATGGAATTAGGAATGGTAGCAAGCTGATAAGGGATTCTGTGATTTAAGCAGAAAAGGAGCGTAGAATCACAGGATGGTTGGAAGGGACCCTAAAGACCACCCAGTTCCACCCCCTGCCATGGGCAGGGACACCTCCCACCAGCCCAGGTTGCCCAAAGCCCCATCCAGCCTGGCCTTGGGCACCTCCAGGGATGGGGCATCCACAGCTTCTCTGGGCAGCCTGTGCCAGGGCCTCACCACCCTCAGAGTAAAGAATTTCTTCCTGATATCTAATCTAAACCTACCTTCTTATAATTTAAAGCTATTCGTCTTTGTTGTATCACTACATCCCCTGACGAAGAGTCCCAGCCCAGCTTTTTCCTATAGGCTCCCTTTAGGTACTGGAAGGCCACTAGAAGGTCTAAGCTTAGGAGACTCTTAAGGGTTACAAACATGTTAAAAGGAAAGATTAAAATTAAAAGTGAGTGATATGTAAATTCAAAGTGCAAAGGTAGAAACCTGTGCCTTGCCAAGGTAAGGAGTGTTTCAGTAGAAACATTGGTAAATGGGAAGAAAGAATGTTATACAGTTGCAAAAAAAATAAAATAAAAAATAGTGTATTAACAGAACTGTTCTGTAAAACTCAATCCCGTGGCTTTACGTGGCATTAGTAATACTTTGCTGGAATGAGTCCAGTTTGGAGTCCACTTTGAAAAGCATGTGGACAACTGCAGAAACTTTGAAGAAGAACAAATACTCAGAGGCCTAAAAACATGAGAATGAAAACCAGTCTTGTTTTCTTCTAAAGAAAATGAGATTGAGGGAGGGTGAACTTCTTCACTATGTAAGAAATTGCTGCAGAGGTGGGAAAAATGCATTGTTCTCTGCACACAGGTAATGTAACTAGAAATTGCAATTTGACCTTGCAGTAAAGAAGGCTTAGCTAAATAGTAAGATAAGCTTTATGGTAGTAATTGTAAGGGAAGTAACTGTCAGCAGAGGACGTAGTACTTGCAGTACTGCAGATTTTTGAAAAACAGCCCAGTCAAGCATGTCAGGTTAATTGGATCCTCTGGAAATTGCCTTCAGCCCTGCCTCCTCTTGTCCTAAGCTGATGTGGCCATCTGCTCCCACCTACTTTAAAGTATCTGCAAGGAAGGTTGTGAGGCATGTGGGTGGATAAATCTGGGGAGTAAATGATTGCAGCCAGTGGGCATGCAAACTTTGCTAGCTTGTGTGTTGACAGCTGTAAGTTCACTGGAAAAAGTCTTGCAGTCATTCCTTTGGATCCTTGTAGCTGATGGTATCAATTTCCAAATCTAACTGGAATATAATCCAGATTTACATGGTGTAAATCTTCTGTCTCTTGAGTGGTGCCAGCGACTCATCTGATTCCAGATCTTTTTGTACCCTTGGTCCCAGTTCCAGTGCCAGGTTCATACCCCGCAGCCACCTTTGACCTGATGCCATCCATCTACTTGGAGCCAAGTGAGCTTTTAACTTTGGTGTTTTCTTGCTCCATCTGGTTTTCGGTAGTTGCATGAGTCTCCTTGGTGAAAGTCCCACCATGTCACAGGTGCCGCTCAGTGACTGGATGTTTGTTTGTCTTTACAATAAACTTCCGAGAGGTTAGAAAACCACCCTCTTCATATCTTTCTGCTCTCTTTACAAAGAGGAAATGTATTTACTGTGAAGGTTTTTCTTCTCCCAAGTCAAGAAACATATCTGCTCCTTTATTTCAGCCAGCGTGACAACAGCTGCAGCAGTTTACAGGTTTCTTAGCTTTTCTTACTAATCCCACCAATCTACAGCACTAACACTTCACTGAGCCATATCCAAACAGTGTTTCTGTAAGCTATCTGGTGACCATGCACACGCACAATTAGGGCTCTCTCTTTCACATCAACTTATACTTTTCCTAAGTTGTCTGTCCTGGGGATGGGGAGGAATCTCCTGTTGTCTTCTCTACCCCTTTTTTTTCCTGTGAAAGTTTCCAGATACATGTTGCCTCTACTGTATGGGTTGAGCCATTGTCCAATTATTCCTTTAATCACTAGGAACTCATTAGGTGGCCTTCTTCCTTATACGCCTTTGGAGAGAGTGAGTCTGTCCAGATATCAGATCCCTTTGGAAAGGTGGGCATTGATACCACCATCCTATCTCTGACTCTTCAAGTTTCTCCAATAACTCTGTGCAAGTCTTTTCACCCTATCTAGTTCTCCAGGTAGCTGGTGGTGAGCGGCACCTTTCCACTCGCAAGCATCCACTCAGACATGCACTGACATAATAAGGGCTTTGCATCTGTAGGAGATTACAGTCTGGATTCTTCTCTGCACTGTCTGTGATTTAGACGGATTGTTTCGTACCTCAGTCTCCTTCAGCAGTAACTTCTCACGGCTCACAGAACGGCTCCTCATCCCAGTGGTGCTGGGAGAGCTGCCTGTGAAGTGCTGGGGGCTCACCTTTGGGGTTGTTTTGAGGTTCAGCTTAGCCAATGTACAAGAAGAGAGCTGACTGCATGAGTGTTTTACACCGTGTACAAGGCTTTGTGGATGTATTTATTGCTTTTGGTATCAGAAATTCTGTAGCATTTAGGGTAACCTCTGCGTTTTTAGTTGCATGGATTAAACACAAACACAGTTGCAGGAGCAGTGAATATCGTGAAGCAAACACTTGCCTTTAAAAGGGAAATAACTGAAAGAGCTTGTATCAGCCCTCAGCTGCAACTTCAGGTTCTGAAACTTAACAGCTGCAAAAGCCTACCACTCCCTTTCCCCCCTCTGCAGCTGACTTGTCTCTGCTGCATTCAATCACAGCTCTGATCCAAGGCGTAACACTGCTTGCTGTTTTCTCATTGTTTTCTCTGTTCTCAAGGCGCTTCTTCAGAACTTTGCTTCTTTCCTAGAAGCATTTTTATTGAGTCTTTGCCAGTGGAATTGAGTGAGAAGAGCTTTGTTTTACAGTTTTACACTGTCCCGTCTAAACACTGTCCCTTTGTGAAGCTTTGATCCTTAAATTATATCGCAAACAAACAAACAAACAAAAAAGGCTCTATCTGGAAATGATTACATTCCTTCAAGTCAAATAAGAAGTTAGTCCAAATTTTAAAAAATACATTAGATGAGACACTATCCTACAGATTTTTATTGGTTTCAGCTTACGTTTAATTCAATCTGTTCACAGCATTGTTGAGATAGATGCACCACAGTGTTGACAACACCACTGAACAGCATTTTAAATACTTCCCTTTTCCCAAGTCTTATACTAAAAAGTTGGCCACGTAGCATGCTGGTGCATCTACCTTTTCCCAATGCTGTTGTCTTGATTGGTGGGTTTTGAAATGAAATCCTTTCGTTTTGTACTCTCAATCCAAGAGTCGGTTGGCTTTTGTGATTTAATCACTCTAGCAAAGTCATCCTCAAAATCCTCTTATGTTCCCACAGTATGGGCAGTGAATATAGCTAGGACCAAATTGTGATCAAAGTCTCCAGCTAAGCCTTGTTGCTTGATTAGCGCCTCCTAGACAAAGCCATTTAAATATCTGAAGCTTGATTTGAACCTGCTACTGGCAATAGGATTAATAACCTTAAAATACTTTGAAGATCTGCATCCCTGGGGAATGGAACTTGATACTGAGCTTGCTGCAGGCGGTCTTATATTTTTGCATTCCCTTCACAGGCAAATCTCCAAAAGAAGCATAAGGAACAAAACATTTTTCTAAGTTCACGTAGCAAATACAAAATGAGAAACAGAGCTCAGACAACAACTGAGCATTGAAATGACTCGTTAATTTGTCTCTGTGTTTCTTCAAAACTCTTCTTTATCATTTTAACAAAAATGTATCAGGATGAAATGAACAGGGCTGATTCTGTGCATCAGTGTTTGTTCCTTCTGCAGAAGTGTGCATGGTGACAAGAACACGAGAGAGGGGAAACGAGTAGGACCAAGCACTCCAGTATGCACTTTATGAAAATACATCGTTGTCCTGCATTTGTTGTCTTCTCCCCTTAGAAAAATAACTGTGTTTTCAGTGCTCAACTGCTACGGGACCAGCAGACATTTTCCTTTGCCTTACTTTGTTCCTTCATATTTTTGACACCTGAAGGCTATTTCCTGTTTAAATTTCAGTCTGTTCTAATACTTTAAGGGCTAGAGACACTTGTGTTCATTTCTGTTCTCTATTCTCTGATCCGGTACTAGTAGAAATCACTGATTCAAAGCAGCTCTCTGGGCAATTGAATCATTGAATACAGCACACTTGTTCAACTTTCTGATGACCATCATAGATTTATTTTAAGTCCGTAGTTAGGTGGAGGATATAACTGTGGATTCTGCCTTCTAGATCCTACCTTTAGAGTAGGATGGATGTAGTAAATGTGTGGTGTGCTTGAGAATCCTGCTACTTTGCTGTAGCCAGCAGTGCAGAAATTGTGCTGGGACATCTGCGTGGAGATCCTTGAAGGCGTGTTGCAGTCTGTCAGTAAAGGTTACAGAAATACTTCTTCATTCAATGGGCGAACTCAGTCAGTGTTGGACTCCTCTGAAAATCCAGTATTTCTAAACAGTGCCTCAGCCTGCTAGTGCATTGATGTGGGCTTGGCCCATAACCGGAAAGTAATCCCAGTTAGCAGTACCAAAAAGCTGAAATGCAATTGAAAAATTCTGGCACGTTGGCTTGAGTTGTGGAAACCAATGCGGTGATGTCAGTTGGAGTTTCGCCACTGGTTTTGACATGGCCAAAATTTTACTTCAGCTGTGTTACAGGTCAGAGCAGAGCATGTTTGTAAAGTAGTTTCAGAATCTGCCTTCCTGCCATCTCTCATGCTATTCCAGGCTCAAATTAGTTCTAAACTTAGAATTCGCTCAGGCACATGAACACTGAAATAATAATAAAAGATATTTTGTAAAAATAAACCAGAGTGAAGGTTGATCTTCTGATAAAGGTACCAATTTGGGACTTAAAAAATCTGTTTAATTCCCAATTTGGTCACAAATCTTTTGTATAATTTGGAAGGTCACTTAATCTCTCTTGGCCTCAATTTCTAAATTGTAAAACGAGGGTAAGTTGAACTTTCTCCTTTGTTACACAGTGAGTTTTTCCAAGTGTGACCTTGCTTGCTAAGTTTATATGAAACATATAAGAAGGCAGACAGCTCAGGGTTGTGGGGGTTTTTAAGCCATTAGCATAAGAAAGCAGTAATAGTAACACATCTAGTCATTTGGATCATCAGGGCCTACAGCGTCTCTTTTCCATGTTTACAACAGTGATGAAAACTTCAAATTACCTAACCAGAGCCACGTTTGATGTGGTTTTTATTATGGGCTAGGAAATATGTCTATGATATTGTATAATAGAAAAAAACACAGTAAAAAAATACTGTAATAACAAAATATAGGAAATGGGATGTATGCAAAGAACTATATCAAAAAGGAAGTGTCAGAAGCTCTGGTTAAATATACATAAATTCTACCAAAAAAGTTTTTAAAATATTTCCAGGGAGCTTGAAGATATGTGGTATGAAAGTGATACGTTTACTGAGTGCCAGAAGAAACTAAACAGAACTCTCTTTTCCAGGTCACATGAATCAAAGTAATGAAGCAGACAAGTGGATCAAGGCTGACACAGAAAGTGGCGAAGTACGTCTTAAAAGCCAAAGCTGGATCCAGTCTGTCAAGCTGAAGATTTCATAAAGGCAAAATAGCCAAAGCGATCAAATCAAGAAATTGTAAAGGAACATTTCTCTAAAACTAAGAAACATTGTTGATACGAATTCTTATAAGAGACAAACACTATTTAAAATGAGGGCTTTTTAAACTAAGATTTGCCTGTGACTGTGGCTGGTTGTTAACAGGTTTGGTTTACTTTTCCAGTCTTTTAGGAACTACACCATTTTACATATTCAGAATTTGTATATCCAAGTCAGTCTAAAAGCTGGTAACTTTCAAATAAAAGTTGGGGGCTATAAAAAAAAAAAAAAAAAAAAACTTAAAACACCTGGTATTTGAAAATATGAAAATTTACTTTTAAGGTAATCTGCTCTGCAAGCTATATTACATATTTTAAAGATATATATCTTTCCTGTGGGACTTATATTGGTTTATGCAAAATGTGGAGAATTTTCTTCAACCAAATTGTGTATTTTGGATAGGATAAAACCACTTTCAGAGCTGTAATTTTTATTTGTTTTGTGTTTAACTCCTAAGCAGTTTCTGCCTTGTCAATGGGCACTTTATGTGTCAAACTACTTGTATGAAATGATGACACCAATTCCGTGTTGTCCTGAACCACTTGTGGATAGAATTAGCAAGTGTGGCTCTGTCTACCATTTGTCTATATAGAAAAACTTAAAAAATAAATTCTGAAAAGTGCAAGAGGTCTAGTTGATTTCAAGAAAGAACACTCCACTGCCAGGACTTCAGATAGATTTCATTTGAATATTCTCCTAAAATAAAAGCTATTATTGGAAGCTATTGGGCTAATTAATTTAATCTGTTTGCTACGTTTCCAGTAATTTACTGTCAGCCTTGCATGACCGGACTCTAAGCTCTTGGAGGCAGAAAGGCAGAGGTAGGCGAAGGAAGTCTGTGTGCCCTGCACAAGAGACCATTGTTTTTGTGGAGGATTTTGTGTTACTGTGATACAAGCACACAGTAAAATTAATGGAGCTTTTAAAAGCCTTTCCGTTTATGTAGGGCCTCTTGTAAAAGAAGTACTGAAGTTTGTGTTTTACAACCAAAATGCAGGAATACCTGCCAACTGAGTGGATGGAGAGTAGAAGAATTTAGAGTGTCAGCTCGGGTTTTAAATTGTATATATGTGTGTATGTACTTTAGATCATAATCAACATAAAATGAACTTCTCCTTTCCTATCGGATTCCAAAAGGGGAAGTTGCCCCTTGTTAATGTTCTGCAGAAGTAAAAGGCAGCATTTTTACTTTAATTAAGGGTGGTAAAAGATTCCACATTGTTTCCCTTTGTGTGTACTGTTTGCTTGGATGGGGTGGCCACTGTTGTCTATGGCAAATTTATATATTTTTTAATATGCTAATATATAAAACAGTAATAATATAATTACTGAAAGCAATATAATATTACTAGTTATTACTAAAAAATATTATACTACTGTTAAAAATATATAAATTTAATAAATGTGTAAGACTTTTAGGTTTCGTGAACATTTTTTGAAACTATTACTTCCTGAGCATTGCAGCAGACAAAGTGAAAGAAGCACTCCTAAATTTATACTGTATTTGAAAATAAGTGTAGTAGATATTTCACAAAATTGAGTCAATGCAATGGTTTCATTATTCACCCAGAATACAAAGATTGTCAGCCTCAGCAATTAAGGTCTTATTTATTGGGACTGCTGCATCAGCTATTTAAGGGAAAACATAGTAGGAAAGCATGTTATTTCCTCCATGTTCAAAATTCAGCAAGATAATGCATTCATATTCTAAAACGTGCTGTAATTAAACATCAGGGTAGCCGGTTATTTCCTACAAGTTTAAATAAGCCATCAGAAAAAATGATGCTACCAGTGAAGCCACTCTGATTATATTCCTTCTAAGCTAATAAATGCTGAGGCCACTAGAACTTTAACATAAAATGCCAACAATGAGCTGAAGGAAGTTAAATGTTTGGAAGTTTCCACCAAAGACATTTGAATAATGCTTTATTTTGCTATAATGAGGTGAAACTATATCTAGACAAGGAAAGATTAGTGGGTTATCAGTAATCATGATTTGAAGAGCATATCCCATGTATGCTCATGGCCCATTTCAGGGGAAAACATGTTCTTACAGCTGGAGAAAGATTTGTCTGTAACACTTTTCTCATCTGTGCTCTTTTCCTTTGAAGCTCCTGGCTTTGTCAGCTGCCAGCTAGCCTGCAGTTCAAATCTGAAAATGTAACCATCAGCTGGCTTAGAGAGGTGAACTTGCAGCCTGAGAGGCCTTTGTAATAATTAGTGCTCTGGGTGTGCATGTGACTGTTGAAAAGTAGAACTGTGCTTAAAACTGTGTGTAAATGTGCACGTATAGTTGTGTATTAACAAATAGGCAGTCACTGTGCTTCCTTGTTCGAGAGCACTACTTGATGAGTGTGAAATTCTGTGGGAAGTCTGAGTGTTTATGTTCTGGAGAAGACCTTCCTGGCAAACGAGAACCCCAAGCACATACAGATTTATTTATTGCTTACTCTGCATGAGACTACAAAAACTTCTCCATATTGAAAGATGAAGACAGCTTGAACCAACATCTGAAAGTCAGTATCGCGTTTCAATGCAGCTGTCTTGCTTGAAGGCATACGTGCTGCAAGAAGGGTTCACAATGCATGCTTACTAATTCAATAAACAGTCTTTTATTAAAGGATGATTAATTTTAAGAAAAACACCTTGTTCTTTTCATGCTCTTGTGGGAAAATAAATAAATAAATAAATAAATAATAAATAAAAACACAGCAACACCAACCTTGAGCTGTAGGTGTTGCGCGATTTCTTCATTTGGAAGAGTTTGTTTAGTCAGGCTCTGACTTGTGTTTTTTGGTGAAGGTGTTACCACCCCTGCCATACCCAAGCCGGGCAGGAGGATCAGCATCATTATATTCTTGTTTCTCCAACTTGGCTGTATATTTCAAGGCAGCTTGCCTGCAGCAAGTGTTTAAAACAATATATATGTCAAGGGGAAAAACATTTTTCAGAGGCTGTTCCTACAAAGAACATTAAAAGCTTCTTTGTCGTAACTGAAGCTCTCAGTATTGTAAGAGGTGTTGTGGAAACTAGGAAAGATGGTAGCTGGTTAAAGTCACAGAATAAATTGGGTTAGAAGGGGCCTGTGGAGACCACTTAGCCCTAGTGCTGCACGAACCAGCTCCAGCTAGACCAGGTGGGCACGGCTGTGCCAGCTGAGCCCTGAACATCTCCAGGGATGGAGATCGCACGGCCTCTCTGGGATCTTGTTTAAGTGTCTGACCAGCATACTGATTAAAAAATAGCTTTGTTGTGTGGAATCAGAGCACTCTGTATGCCAGCTTGTGTCTGTTACCTCTTATCCCAGCAGCGTGCACCTCTGAGAAGAGTCTCACCCTCTCCTCTTTTATGTATCCCCTGGTCCCGGAGTTGCAGGCAGCAGTAAGGCCTCTCCCACCCCATCCCTTCTCCTCATGGCTGAACAAACCAATTCTCCCGGGTGCTCGTTTCACACCCTGTGCTCCAGCCCTTTGACAGCCTTGGTGGCCCTCATCTGTGTTTGTTCCTGCTGACTGGAGCCTGCGATAGCTGATCCAGAAGAGGATTGCTTTTGGGGCCCCAAAGCATGTCCTGTGCCATGTCTCCCTGTCCTGCTCAGCTGTCGCCCATTTCCTAATTCTGTGACCCCTCTGATCTGCCCCAGCATTTTGTGGCCACTGCCCCCTTGCAGTGTTGTTAGAACACAGAAACAACGAACACAGAAATGGGGGAAAGTCAGGCCTGCTGAGTGACAGACCTTAACAATAAGTTCACGAGCAACCCTCCCCTCTCCCTCCTTTCCAGGCACCGTGTCTCCCTATCAGCCCAGCAGCTTCCATTGGCTCCCCTGAGCTGAAGAAACTCGACCCATCGCTTGCAGTCTTTTGAAAGCCTGTTTCTTTCCACCGCTTCTGCAACTTGGCTCTTGGCCTGCTCCCAGCTGCACAGAGCAGCCGCCCCCCAGCCTCCCTCCCCTCTGGCTCTTGCCTTGCTGCCTGCAGGCCAGAAAGCTCCCTGGGGCCGAGCACACGCATGTGCTGGCTGGGGAGGAGATGGCTCCACATCTCCCATCCTCTTCAGGAGACACAGCCTGGCCTGGTGTGTCACAGCCACTGCATGGTAGCCCTCCTCCCTCCTCAGATCATATGGTATATGGCCTATAGACTGCACTAGGAAAAAAAAGAATCCAAATGGAAGTGTCTGTTTTCTGGCAGTAATGTCACTACGATATCAGTAATATTATTATTTGTTGCTTTTCTAAGTAAAAACCAAGAAGGTGGTTACAAAAGAGCCAGACATACACAGCTGTCTTGCTTGCACCACCACATCAGGAAAGGGGAAGAGGTGAGGGTTGGAAAAGGAACACAATTAGTGAGGCAGGGAGGCCTCCTTTTCAACCACGGCAGGGTATTTTTTTAGGTAGAACACTGACACACTGTATTAGCCACATGAACACAAGGCTGGATCTGTTTTTATATTAGGGAGGCCTGTACTGTTGAGGAATGTGTGCACAAGTTATACGAGCTATAAGCTCTAAGCTATAAAATAAAAATCATCTCATCCAAGTCCAAATTCCTGTTTTTCATGGAAACTAATGTATAGTGCCTGTCTGAAGTATGTATAGGGAGAGCTGTTACAATTTTTTTGGAAACTTTTGCTGTCCCATGCCTGGAGCTACAGTTGATTAGTTTGCCAGAAACAGCCATTCGTTAATCATCAACACATGGCAAAATGCATTGTTTATTTAAGATACACCATACCATGATAGGGCCTGTCTATTTGTTTATATGGTATCTTAAATGAGCACACTGATGAATAAAAGCATTTCAGTAAGTAATTACAATTATCTTTAGAAGCAAGTATCACATGGTATAAGTCAGACAAAATTACTGGACCAAAACCATGGCTTGAGCAATATTGGAATAAGTAATTCAATCCTTACCCAAAGTTTCTGTCCCTTCACTGAGAGGGGTTAGCCAGGAAATACAGTTCTGCATCATGGTTTGACTTTTGAGCTGTTCCAAAATTCAGAAATGTTTGACTGTGTCTCTTATAATTAAAGCAGAGATTTAGAGGTTATAAGGTGAGGTTACAAATAAATAAATAAGTAAAAATCAAGAATGAAAAGTTTTGAAAAAGAAAACTCTAGACATGGACAAACTGTAAAAAAATGCATGAGAAACTAAGCTGCAGAAGCAAGTGGAGACAAGGCAGCTAGCAATAAAAGCAGCAAGCACCCTGCAAGCATCCTCCAGGTTACAAGAAGTGGTCAGATTACATACAATTTGGAGTATTCCGAGGTTCACGCCAGCTACTGTAGCTGTAGCTATTTTAGAGTATACATTTCAAGTGCACATGAAAACTGAAACATGGCAGTCCAGGAGCTTCCATTTAGCAGAGAAGTTTCTGCCCATGTCACACCTGAAGGTCAATTTACAGTGCGTGAGAAGACAGTGCTATGATATTTTTGGTGGCTGTCTCAGAAGAAAACTTAAGAGTATTCTTATTACTTTACCAACTCATGTGTAGGCTGTCTTTATTTCTGGTTACCTGGGAGTTGGACTCCCAAATCCTTTGTGTCTTGAGACCTGAATATTGGAAAATATTTGCTCTTTCAAGAAAATAGTGTTCTTGCAATCTCCTTTCTAACCAACAGCAACCATCAAAAAACAAACCAAACCAAAACCAAAAATGAAAATGTTCTCCTAATGTCTAACATATTTTAGTCATTAAGAAGCAATATAATTTCCATTTAAGAGGCAAGAATTGTAAAAGTAATTGTTGATGAGTCATTTGTTAAAGAAGTAGTCATGAGTTTAAAAGAAACTGACTTCATATCAGTTCTGACAAAAAGAAGGAAGCATTTCATAATTTCAGCTTGTATCAGAAACAGTGTGACCAGCAGGGCTAGGGAGGTGATCGTCCCCCTGTACTCAGCTCTGGTGAGGCCGCACCTCGAGTACTGTGTTCACTTTTGGGCCCCTCGCTACCAGAAGGACATCGAGGTGCTTGAGTGGGTCCAGAGAAGGGCAACGAAGCTGGTGAGGGGCCTGGAGAACAAATCCTACGAGGAGTGGCTGAGGGAGCTGGGCTTGTTCAGCCTAGAGAAAGGAGGCTCAGGGGTGACCTTATTGCTCTCTACAGATACCTTAAAGGAGGCTGTAGTGAGGTGGGGGTTGGCCTGTTCTCCCACGTGCCTGGTGACAGGACGAGGGGGAATGGGCTTAAGTTGCGCCAGGGGAGTTTTAGGTTAAATGTTAGGAAGAGCTTCTTTACCGAAAGGGTTGTTAGACATTGGAACAGGCTGCCCAGGGAGGTGGTGGAGTCACCATCCCTGGAGGTCTTTAAAAGACGTTTAGATGTAGAGCTTAGGGATATGGTTTAGTGGGGACTGTTAGTGTTAGGTTAGAGGTTGGACTCGATGATCTTGAGGTCTCTTCCAACCTAGAAATTCTGTGATTCTGTAATTCTGTGATTTCCTTTTGATCTCAAAGAGCAGCTTTTGGTAAAACCAGCGTACCTGATATCCTTTTGGTTAGAAGCACTGCTCTGGCTAGCAAGGCCTTCTGATGGCAGTTTTGCACTCAATAAGGTTAATAGAGACCTACACCTTTCTCAGCTCTTCAGCTACCTTTAAATGGTACTTGGTGTTTTGAAGTTTAATGAGAATGTTACAATGAAGAGTGAAGTTTCTCTGAAGCTGTCAATGTGCTGCCTCTTGCAGGATTACTCTTAAGTGAATCACAACTGACACAGCCTTTTCCTACAGAAGCCACATTTTACAACATGGAGAGTTGGCTTTCTCTTCCTCTAATAGGAGAAATAAATTGCACCAGTATCAGTCCCACAGTTAGATTATCCATGATTATTTATGTCATTAATTAAAAGGCCATTAGCCTCTAGATACAGAAATATGCAGCAGGATTGTCAGTCCATAGGCCAATTTTTAAATTTAACATTTAAATAAACCTGGCACCAGGCTAGTATGCTGGCAAATATAAGCTCAAATGCTACCTGATACTGGAAAGAATGGACAATTTTTATGCTCATAACTATTTCCTATGAAGCTGCATTGGACTTAAACTTCAAGAACTTTGTGGTTACATATGTTTTTTATTTTAATCTAATGGTAAAAATGAAGGTTTGAAAAAGTATGTGACAGTACATGAGATATGCCTTGATACTTGCAAGGCTCATTCAATTAAGATGTCTGCTAGGACTGGTTAGTGTTTAATAATAAGCACTGGGGAATTCCTTTGGCAAAATAAAGTATACATGATTTACAGATTTTGCTATAAGATAGCAACTTCAAATTAAAAACATTTATTCTATTGCTAATTTAGAATCAAAGCCACTAGCATGTTTAGTTCTCCAGATTCATCTAATTTTTTAAAGAGATGTATCTTCCATCTCCTTGACTAGGGAACGAAATATCCCTGAAATGTATGTTTCTTGCCTGTAGTATATAAATTACACCTGAAAGCAGCTTTTTCCAATACCTTCTGTGAATATCTAAGAATCTGAATAAGGCTTTAGGAGTTAGCCTGAAAACAGAGAATGAGGACCTGTTGTTCATTTTTGTGACAATCTGTTACTTACATTTCATGAATAAAAACATTCAGGTTGTGAATGAAATACATAGCTTTATAAAAGTACATTGTGACATGGAAGTGACAGCACTGTCATTGCTTTTGATGTCGTTACTTAAAATCTGCTGCAATATAACCAACAGCTTAGAATTGCTGCCATATTTTACTATGTTTTTGATGCAGTTATTGGCAGAAAGCAAATGTTTTATCTTCCCAATATTGACTTTGAACTACGATTAAAAAAGGTCTTTTAGCAACTGTGACACACACAGGATGTAGAATATATCTGAATCTCACTGTGAACTCCCTTCTATTTTCTGAATATCATTGCATTTGGTGGCAGTTGAAAAGCCACTCTGATCTTGACATAGTGCATTTTGCAGCCTGCCTAGGTCTAGGGAGGCTCTTCAGCTGTGTTAGAAAGAACAAGTAAAGAACCTTCTGTACTGAATTATTTTACATGGTTGAGCCACCTGACTCAAATTGCACAGGGTGTTTCATATCTCTGAACTTACAGGGCAAAGGATCAGAGCCTGAGGCTAGCAAGGAAAAGAACCAACCACCATCACATACCAGAAAATCAAGATTGAGAAAGTTGAGTTGGTAGTTTTTCTAGTTGTAAAAATCACAAAAAGGGGAAAGATAACACTGGGTGGAGATGTGTGTCTCAGGGCTGCTTTTTGTTTTGAAAAATCTGTGACTCTCTAGGGTTTTCTTTACAGTAAAAATAACCGATTGGGAAATTCCTTGGCCGGGACAGAAGAGTTTAATCAAGATGTTCAGAGACCCCATAGCATACAGGATTCAGGCAGAGGCACAATCTTGGATCATGCAAAATCCAAACTATTGCAAGTGAGTTTCTGAGAAATCAACTCAGCTCTTTGGTCATGGCACACCAATCAAATTGGAACTTGCTCAAACTTTCATTCCTATTACATCTCATTTCTACAGGAGGATGTATAAGCAACCAGAGCACAAAAAGGCTGCTTAGTGCTCTAAACAAAGATATAAAGGCACAGAAAAAGGAAATCAACAACAGTAATCTGGGATTAGAGAAAACCCCTTGAGGCTTAATATGAGAAAAACTGTAAGTCAGAAAGTTATTAGGAAGTTAAAAGTATTTTAATTATTTTTTTTTCATATGAAGAGTAGTACATTTAGAATTTTTTTTTTCAATTACTACTGACACTTTCCATAGCTAATACATAGCTAGCAATCTAATTAGAAGTAGATGTTTTGAGAAGGAAGTTCTAAAATGACACTAAGAAAGCTAGGCCAGAGAGAAAAGAAAAAAAAAAAAAAGAGGCCTGACAAGTAAAAAAAAAAAAAAGGTAACGAGAGCAGAATTGTCTGTGGTGAGGCAGAGGGAAATAAACCAAGGAGGGTTTGGAAAGCATGAAGCACATAAAATATCTTTTAAGTTGCTAAGCATCTGCATGAGTTTTGTAGTCTCTGAAGTGACTATTAAACCCTGGAATGATTTAGCAAGGAGTGCTCACTCTACAGTGGTCTTGTAAGCACTGTAAGAGTGGGGTTAGCATTCTCCTGGTGTGGATACCCTCACTATATAATCTAATGTACCTATTTCTTACTCTTATTGAAGTATTAAAGCTTGATCAAGTTATATACTCAGAATTATCAATCCTCCTTAAACTTTAACTCTTTTCCAAACAGTTTCAGTACTGTTGGAGTGTCTGGCCACTGTGCAGCTAGGTGTAAGGTGACTGCTCTGTTATGCTCTTAAACACAACGGAAGGGTGATTGATCCGCATCTTGGAGACACAGAGCTGAAAACTCAAATCAAAAACTGACCAAAATGGGGAATCAAGAGTACAGGACCATTTACAACAGTGGAGAAATTGGACTGTTTTGTGGTAAATTACCTGTTTTTTCCAATTGTAGTATGTTTCACTTATACTTCATTAAACTGTGTTTATGATACCTTGACTCATTCGCTGTTTCCATGCTATATTTTGAACACATGTCCACAACAATGCTCAAATCTACTTCTGCCCTATACTGACAGTCAGTTGTTGGGAAATATACTCCCACAGGCTCCCACAAACTGAGTGAGCTCAAGTACTCAGCATGATGGCTGAGCATATTAGGCCCAGCCTGGTTTTCTCCCTCAGATTCCACATTTCTTTGTGTTGATACCCTGTGTCTGTATAAACTTCCCTAGCAGAACCTTTTGTGCCATAAAGACAGATGGTGTCCCTATTTCTCTTCACTTATGGCTGACACTAGAGTATATAGATATCTACATGGAGCCATACAAATCCTAAGGCAGCAATGTGGACAGTCCCCAGCCTCCCACACCCACAGTTAAAGGAGCAAGATGAAGATGAAAGGAGCAAGAAGATGTCAATGAAGACAGACCTTATGTTTTTGGGTTTAAACCTAAATTAAGATTAGGAAATATCCTCTTACTTGGTAATATTTCTACAGTACAGCATCTTGAGAATCTGGAGTTGCTTTCGCCCTTTCCAATGACATTTCAGTGCTTTGTAAGATTAATGCAACTGGAGACATCCAAGAAATGGAGATAAAGGCAGGCTGTGGCCAAGTATTGGATACAGGTCTCAGTCATCTGTAAATGAAACAACAATGCACACAGAAGTTAGAAGATTATGGGACAGCTGGAAGAAAAAACAACATAGCACACAATTTGTGTTTGGTTGTGTCTGATTTGTGGGAAAATGATGTTTTAAAATAACCCTGTGGAAATAAAGTTTCTGGCGCAGCAGAATTCTGAATCTCTGCCAAAAGTTCTACAGGAACTGTCACTTAAATATCAGGAGCATATTAGATATCAGTTAAACATGTTTTCAGCACAGTTTAAAGTCCTACGGGTTGCTTTTCACCTAGTCAGAGTAGTTTAACATTCCCAACATCATGATTTTGCATGTGGCACCTGCAAAGGCCTTTAACCTTTCCAGGTATTGCATTGTTCTCACTGAACTATTAGGATGTGCTTAGAGTTTAGTTATACCAATTTTGTATCTCAGTTCCCCATTACAAATGAGTCTCACAGCAAACACTAACATTTAGTTGTGTTTGTTTAGCTCTGAAGTAGAGCTGCTTAGTTTCACCTCACAGTTGCATTTTTCTAAAATTATATTCATAGCCATTAATGCTAGAAAACTTATTTGAGAAACATGTAAGACACTGAGTCTTCAAAGTGCAAAAGCACTCAGGCAAGTTATTTAAAAGCTCCACTGACCTTTGCGGGAACAGTCAGGAATAAACTAACACAGTTTAATAGCCTTGTTCAGTCAGGACCAAAAGTCAAGCAGGGACCTGCTAGAGATATTTAAAAGATACTTGATTAAAATCAGCATGTTTCTGACTCCAATGGAGTGGAATGGTGGAGGGAGAAGTGGGTTTCACTTGCACTGAACAGCCAGTCACTGAGAATCTAAAATGAACAAGGAGGCATGACAAAGCTGGGACCTTGGTTTGTGGGACAAAAAAAATCCTATTTAGCTATGTTAAGATCCGAAATAGTCTAATAAATTTATCAAAAGATGAATATCCTAATATTCCTAATGAAATAAACAAAATTTTCTGACCGAAATCAGTATTCAGTATCAATGCATTTAAGAGAAATCTACATTCATCACACACTTAACTCTAATCCCTCCACAGGACTGAATTCATTTAGTTCCAGAATTCCAGAATTCACCATCCATTGAACAGTATCTTCAGATCTTTGTTATTTAAATACCTGGATCATTGAACCAGAGATTTATTGATTTATTTTCAATTCTTGCTGTATTTTTTCATGGAGAGGAAATGTTTCCCACCGCAACTTCATTTTTTGAACCTGATTACTCTTGAAACAGGCTTATTCCTTGCATAAGACTGAGAATTGCCCTGCTGAATATTTTCAGCATTTGCTGAATGACTTGTCCCTGTCCTAGGTGGACAGAAGCATGACAAGGAGGCTCACTGCACTTTCCCTGAAGCCAGTGGGGTTTATTCAATGAAAATCAATTTGCCCCTGTAGATATGATTAAAGTGATAAGCTAGTCTAATGTTATAGTAACCTGCACAGCACATGCCCAAACACTCTTATCGGACATGCATTTCCACAGTGTGTTTTCCATATTCTCTTGCTAATTTTTTTTTTATTTTTTTTTTAAATCCAGTTGTTTTTGTGCTGTTGTTATATATGTGTATATATAGCTGATACTGCACAACATGACTGTCAGAAGCATTAACATATACCCTTTGGAAAAGGTTCATTCTTAGTTTAATCTTCTGAACATTTTTAAACAGTCTCTCAGTGGAAAATATTTTCTTATGTAGCAGCTGGATCCCCTCAGTTTATACTAGAGTTTGCCAAAGGATTTGAATCACCCATTAGTTTTAACACAGGTGTACCCAGCTCATTTTATGGAGTTGCAAGCTGGATTCAAGTCAAAAATTAAAAAAAAAAAAAAAAAAAAAAAAAAAAAAAAAAAAAAAAAGGACTTGTAAACTTCTGTGTAGGTTTATTTTAAAAAGTTTTGAAGTTCTTTTCTGAATATGGTAGTTAACAAGTTAACAGATTGGATTTTAACCTTTTAAAGAAAAAGATACTACTTAGAAACAAAGTGTTGGAAGGGGATTACTAGGTCACTGAGTTTAATTCTTGTTCCAGTTTGAAGGAATAACAAAATATGATCCAGTTCATTCTCTTATTAAGAAGGGAATTAACATTACATGATACTTGGCCTCTATTCCAAACTATCCCAATTTCCAGCCTAAATGTATCCACTGATATTTTATGCTATTTTTGTGTGTGATATGTCTATAAGGTACAATGGAAAGTGAGGTTTGCAAAAAATACCTAATTTAACTATGTTGTAACCATATACAACCTCTATTATTACTGTTATTATGAAAAAATAGCTTGATACCTATCAAAAAGCAATGGATATAGGAGAGTGAGACCCATACATAAAATAATTAATGGTGTACCATAGGTATCCATAAGATAACTAAGGGCTATTGACAGACCCAGAGCAACTTTCTTGGCCTACATCCTGGAGAGGGCATACAGTGTGTCCAGTGAGGCATGTAACTGTGGTTCAGCAGCCAGTTTCTCCAGACTAGTTGCTGCTATGAACAGTTTCTGCTGCTATGAGCACTGTTTCATCTCTGGTTACAGAGCTTGCATTTATGCCAGCTTTTGAAAATGTATTCCTTAGGCATTTAGCTTTTCTTATGCATTATATTAAGAGGTTTGGCTGAGAGTTGAGCTAGGCAGAGTCTAATGGGGCTGGCTTTACCTGGGTTCAGAAACAACAACAAAGCATGAAAACACTAAGTGTTACTAAAACAAAGACACCATCTTTTGGAATCACCCAAAATAGCAGAAGCTGAGAATATCTGCAGGAAGCAGCACTAAAAGCCTTTCTCTCTTCACCCTCCCTGTGACATGAGCTCCTGGAGGGACAGGCTTTTACCTGATCCAGCACCTTTATCTCCTAACTGTAACCATTAGAAGAACACCAAATACTCTAAAGAACTGAGTCTCAGAACTTTAGTCAGTTGAACTTAGGCTCTGATTTTAAAGTTAGATGAGTGCATTGTAGAACTGTGACAAGACATAGATTCCAGCAGGTCAGATTTTTAAATGAAATAAAATGTAATTCTTTGCAATAGCGATGCCAAAGTTACTGTCCCAGTTCTTACCTGTGGACACAAATACCTTTGGACAACAAGCTATGCTGACAGATGCTAGTGTGTGACAGTAAAATGCCAAATATTTCACAGCTTCATCTGTCAGCTGAGGGCAATTGGAGATGTGACATTATTCTAGGTGTTTTGTGCCCTTGCAGAACTCCTGAAAAGGCAACAAACAGAGCTGTCATTCTTTGTTAACATGCCTATTCTATTTTTCTCAATTTACAATACATTTATGTCAATCCTTTGATCCATTTCAGGCTCTTCAGTTGTTCTATGTACCCTTCATTAACAGTGAAGTCACTCAGCTGTAGGCTGTGAATTCCACTGGAAAAAGAAGAGCTGCATTAAGAGGCTATTTTCCATTGCTGATGCTGATATATTATACAGTCTGTTCATTAGAATAAAATTCTGCTCTATACTTCTAGTACAGCTCAGTGTGGAAACTTTTGCTTTAAGAAACTGCAGATTTGTGAACTCAAGAATAAAATAACCTAAACCAGTACTTCTTCACTTAATGGTGCCACGATATGAGTATACCAAAACATTTTGTGGCATTGGCTTCATTGAGAATCTCTTCTCTTCTATCATTTCCAGCCTAAAACATAGTAAGATAAATAATATTTGTCACAGAACTGGTCTTCCACATTTTTCTAATCTTGGCCTAAAGCTGACATAATTTGGAATATATTGGAATGAAAATTCTACCTCCACAAGTAATATCTCTAAAGGAGAAAGAAGGAAATATTTATATTGTGGATTGAATAAAAAAACCTGACTGCTTGAAGCTTTTCAAAACCTTTCTAGAATTAGTCCTGAGGTAAACAAACTAAGGACTACATGGATAAATACCATGTGTACGTGCAGACAGAGATGCACAAATACACTTACTGAGTTTTCATTGTGAAAAAGAGTCCATAGTAAGCAGACTATGGCCACTTTTTCTTTACATTAAGCAGGAATTCAGGCACTAAAATATAGCTGATCACTTGTAAATGTTAACTTTTTGATGACCAAAAGTTATGTGACTATATGTGATTTTCATAAGTCTTATGTTAACAGATACAAAGAAACTAGATCAAAGTCTGAAATTTGTTTTACAGGCCAACATTTTAGACATTTCATTTTTATCATAACTCAAGCTGTTTTGTTTTTGGTTTATTAGATATTTTTTTCTACCAATATAGCTGTACCAAGGTAGTGCTTCTTGGGCTTTGGGTTCTTTTATATCACAAAATATTTGAATGTGAATGTTTTAATGTAGGACTGGTTAGAATGAACAATTAAGAATTTATAAAAATTGGCTTTGTACCTCTTCTATTTCAATCCTCGCTTTACAGAGATTAACAGCAATACAATTTTTTTTTTTTAAAAACGTGTGTGTTGCTGTGTTTGTTTGTTTGTTTGTTTGTGTGTGTGTGTGTGTGTATTTTTCTTTTTCTGTGTGTAAGAGAAATCAAAATACCTTCAGAATTAGCCTTAGCCATGATGACTTAATCACTACATTCTCAGCTAGGGTATGCAGCACAAGCTGAAGCCAAGATTTCAATGCCTGGGAGATATGTTTATCTTGTTTTTACTGGCATAGTTAGTCTACATACATATCTAAAACATCCTTCAAAGTTAGGTTCTGAATTTGCTCTTAAGTGCGATTTGCAAATAATGTGGGAGTAGACTTTAAGTTATATTTCACAAAGGAAATGTTGCTTTGTTTGCTTTCTTCATCTCTGGATCCCTGGCTATATGCCTATGATGAAAATACCCAAGATCTCCAAAAAAGCTGGTGAAGATATGAAATTTTTGCAAAACATTAAGGACACAACAAATAATTGAATAGTATAAGAAGGAAATGTGATTTTCTAACTTATTTTCACAATTTTAATTCTGCTTAAATAAGACCTGAAGGCACACAAGCATCAATGAAAATATGAAATATGAAAATGCTGCTCATAAAGTGAGCATTATCTGAGCTATGAATGAGATCCTATTTACAAAATATATGATCACATAATCATTTACATACTGCTGTAATACCTGCAAACAAGTAAATGAATTAACACTCTAAGATCAACATTTTTTTTTGGCCATTTTACAACTTTCTGTATTTTACCTTAACAGTGTTATTAAAGACCTCTTAATATGCATTTTCTTCTCATATAATTTCAATATTCTTTATATAATCAAAGAATAACTAAGATGTACAGCATACAACGGGCAACTTTCTACAGATTTTTCCATAAACTCATATCCTTTGATTTCACCTTTAAAGACGGACTTACCATTTTACTTTCTTATTAGTTATTTTCTTATCTTTTCTTCTTCCTGCCCTCCCTAGATCCATGACCACATGGTTTGTCCTACATCTTCGTGTTCTCACTTCTGATTCTTTCTTCATCAGAAAGTTCATATTCATATTGCAGTTGCAGAAAGTGCACTTCTTTTTCACATTCATTTTTTACTTTATGTACTGAGACGCTTACTGAAATAGCTTCTCAGGGATAAGCATAAGTGAATATTCTCCTCTGAAAGGAGCAGTGCTGGCTCTGCATCGACTTTCAGTGAGATACACAAGATGTACATACTTGGTCATTGTTTTGTGGGAACAAAACCATGGAACTTTACACTCATGAAAGGCCAGTCAGAATTATTCCTAAAGAAGCAAATTCTAATGGTCTGACATACACGTTGGGTAAGAAGATTCAATCCAGATGCATCCCTTGTGGTGCAGCAACAACTGACTCATTCTTATAATATACAGCTATAAAATGATGGATGTTGGAGTTTTGTAAGGAAAAAATGTAGAGGCTGAAGACTGGGATTACATGATGACAGTGCCTGTACCTGAAGCCTGACAATCTGAAAGTGTTTATGGGCAGAAAATTGATGCTGCTAAACAACATGATTTAAACATTTGTTACATGTGGTTACGAGCAATTCTCAGTTACAGAAAAAAAGCAGGATGTAAATACGATCTCTCTTCTTCTCAACAAAATTGATAGTTCTTTTTTTTCCATTGTAAAGTTATCAACCAATGCTTATTATATTGTTCTGAAACACAAAGCAGTAAATCAATGCAACTGTATTGAATCTATCAAACCTCCATAAGGACGTAGATAAACTTCAAGCGTATACACAACCTGTGGTAAGGAACAATACATTTTGGAGACAGTCGTCTCCTTTTCTTCATCTAAATCTTCAAACTAGATTCACTTCATGCCCCCTAGATAATGTATGGAACTAAACAGCGAAAAGTTGACCCCTATTCACCCTTTTCGTGCCACTTGCGATTGTACAGATCTCAAGCATATTCCCTCAGCCATCCCCTTTCCAGACCGCAGGTTCCTTGCTTACTGATTTGCTCCTTTTATGGAAAGTGTTCCATACATCTGATCATCCCTCCTGGCCCCTCTGAGTCTCTTCCAGTCTCCAGTGCAATGTTTTACCCATAAAAAGAATTCCAGTAACACAGAATAGCCAATTTTTGCAAAACAAGATAATGAATACTAATAAATCAGAATTTCATATGTAGTTACTGCTGTGATGATAGTATAAGGAAGATAAATATTTGGATGGCAAATCTCATTGTTGACTAATTAAAAAAGAAAGTCCATAAATCAGAAATACAAAATAATTTATCAGCATTGTAAATTGAGTTCAAATACTGTATTACTATTAATATTTCTATGAAATCACTAATTATTCAAAAGAGCTTTTTTACTGTGTAAGTTCAAAACTTATCATTGACATAAAAAATTGCCTTTGCTACAACTTCAATTTTTAGACTGTCTTTTTACAAATTAATTAATTTCCTACATGATTACTTCTTAAAGATTATTGACCCTGGAAAATGTCTAAACTTATAGGCTAATGTTAAGATCAGAATAGTAACCAATACATATTTATATTTTAGCCTAATCTTTTTTTTTTTTTTTTTTTTAAAGAACTATATCTGGCTTTATATGGTCAACATCCAATATTTAAATTTCTAAACCAACGCATATAATAATCAAAAGAAAAACAGTGGGGAAAAAATGAAGTTTAGTGAGATTCAATAGACATTCTGCTGTGAGTATGAGGTCTTTAGAACAAGAGGTCAGTATTTCAAATATCTAGCTGAAAATACATGTAGTCTAATTTCAAGTAGATTAATTTCATCATTACACATGATCAAATTATGCAGTTGATGTTTTCATAGGACATTTTAAAAGTGGAAAAGTGGTTGTGTTTTTGTTTTGTTTTGTTTTTTTAATAACACATAATTTGTGTTTTGTTTTGTTTTGTTTTCTATAAAATAGCTAAGAAATCTCTTCAATCTGGATGAGATTCTGTGATTCTGTGAGATGTGTGCTTTTCTTATTGAAATATATGTTATTTTTAAGGATTTATGCTGGTAAGAAAGATACTTTTAGAGTTACATTAAGATATATATTTGTGTCACTAAGAGACAATTGTGGGTAGGAATGGATCAGCAGCACAAGAAGAACCACACATAACAGGCTAAATGAAATTTATCTATTTCATTGAGCTAGTCACACTAAATCAACTAAACACGGCATTCAACAAATGGCAACAACAAAAAAAAAAACAACAGTAATTCAATTTTTAAATAAAAAAACAGTAATTCAATTTAAAAAAAGTACAGTTCAGTAGAAAGGCTCCTGTATAATCAATTTCATTCTATGCAGAGTGCAGAATTTGAGATTCATTATAATTTACAGAAGAAATTAAAAAAATGGAAAGGAATAAGAAGGGGAAAATGATTTCTAACAGTGAAAGTGTAGAATGCTGCAATGAAGAGTGAATGAAGAATGAAGAGTAAAATATTATCTGTTTTGGACATGGTTAAATTTACAAAATAGAGAAACGTCCAGGATACACCAAGAAACGAAGTTAAGTTTTACCTGAATCCCAGTATCACTGACATTTTTGCATTCTGCTAGAGAAAGTTGCTTTATTTTTCCATGACAGCCAAGGACTCTCAAACCCTAAAAAAAAAGCCAGAGAAAAAGTAACCTTAAAAATCAACATATGCAATTATATATAATTACATTTAGTATCCTAACATGGTCTAAAATATCCAAGGTTTGTATGTTAAACCTTCTACCTAAGAATTACAGCATCTTTTAATACATGCAAATAATAACTCTGCAGAATACTCTCACAGAACATTATCTACTTTTTACAAAGAAAAACAAGGATTGGAGATATTATATAAATGAGCTATCCAAAGTCACTCACTGAAATCCTTGTGGGAAATATAGCCTGGATTTCTTTCCTCCACCAAATGCTTCATTACATGACTGTTCTCAGATATTCAAAACAACTTTCTTATTGATTGCATTTTTTTTAATCAAACTATAAATAATTATAATTATTGTCTAGTTATGCTCTGATTCTGAAGTGTCTCTTAAAAGGACTTTCCTGCATCCATTAGAATCCAACAGAATAGCATTACTTATTTTATCCGCCTTTGTCCATAAGAGCCTATAAATGCTAGGCTCTTATGTACGTCCTACTCTTCTGCAGAATGCATGTAGTTTACCCTCCTATTTTTTCTTGATGTACATACAAGAGTTAGGAATTCTTTGTAGAAAAAAATCAATAGCAAAAGCAAAAAATTACATTTTTTAACCTGTTCAGAAAGAAAGAAACTGGAGAAAAGTGGTATCTTAAAATTGCTGCCTTTAGGATTTTCTTATCAGTGAAGGTCTTATGACTAAAGCTATGCTTATACAACTTCTGAGTACAACAAGACAATACTTGAGATGTTTGAGTCACACTGATAGGTACATTCTACTTTAGAAGAAAAAAAAATATTCAGGAAAATAGGGAGGTGAAAACTTTGATATATTCCTATTTTAGGAATGCAAAAGGATCAGACAATGCTTTGCATTTTTACTGCTCATACCCCAGGAAACAGAACCATGTTCTTATCCTCAACTTTAATTTGAAGGAGAAATAAATGTTAATTTTGTAAAATATGTCTTGATATTCACAGCAGAGTAGTTGTGTGCTTTATATCATTAAACAAACTTTTCTTCAAGAAAAACAAAGTTATCACTTCATTCCATGTGGTTAATAAATTATCTACAATTAAGTAGTGAACAGCACTGCTCAGAGAGGAAATATCATACTGACAAAATAAGCACATTTAAGTAGTGTCTGGAATCCAGATGTGGACGCTGTAATGATAATACTGGGAGAGTGCGGCTGGAGTTCAAATTTTGAGAATTCCTGAAACCTCACAGGCTGAATAAAAACAGAAAATGGAACAATGAAAAAGATTTTCAATCCTAGCTGCTTATGAAAATAAATAAATTTGCATTTTTTTTTCTCAGCAGACACAGTTATATGCTGACCATTACTTACACCAGCTTCATGAAAATCTACAGATTTCAAATTTTTGTTGACCAAAATACTCCCATTCAAGAAAAAAAAATAATTGTCTACCTAATCCTCAAATGTGTTCATGTCAGAACAGGAATTCCTGACAGAAGAGACTCATAGTGTTAGGGTCAACCTTTAGAACATAGTTTTTTCATCCATTTCTCTTTACTTAAAAATGGTACAACTTTATGGTACTTGGTAATGAAATTATAACTTTTTTTTTTTTTCTTTTCCTACCTGACAACTAACACTGCTAATCTATAATGATTTCATGTGACTATACTGACACTGTGTCACAATAAAATTATTTTTACAATAAAAATCAAAGTCTCCTTTAAGGTGTTTCATTAATAGCACCAGATTTGAGAAGGCAAAGACTAAAGACACAGTATACAAGGAATGTCATTAGGAACTGTCAATCACACACAGAAACTACGAAACTTTGACATTTCCAAAAACGAACCTCTTCAAACAAGTTCAATGCAGGAAGCCTAATCCATAAGAATTATTTAACTATTAGTTTTTATTTTAACATATGTATAAAGTAGCCAGTTATCACTACTTTTGATAGAATTCCTGTTTTATGCAGCAGTATTCCCTGATAAACAACATCAGGGATTCCCATCTGAGATACTGACCTATTTCTGAGACTTGTCTTCTATACTAATTCTCCAGACATTTTTAAAAGATATGTCGAGAACAATGATAGTATCATCAGAACTCCTGGGAACATATACTAGCAAAACAGACACTACACAGCACATAGACTATGACACCTACTCTAAAGGTTTCCAAAATATCTCTAACATAAAGAAATCTCCCATGTATCTTGGATTAATTTTCAGTTGCCATAGTGAAAGGGAAGACTTTGTCTTGCATGTCTTGTATAGCATTTTTATTACTGTCTCCATTAAAAAAAATAATAATAATAAAAGAAATATTTTATTCTTCCACAACAGCTGCTTTTTTCATGCAACTGAACTTTACAGTTTTGTTCTGTTTCAGTTAATTCATTATGTGAGGCCTACATACATTTGCAGATCATTTATTATTATTTCACCACAGTTTTTGTAGATAAGAAAATAAGAATCTACCATACCAGATGGTGAGGGTCTTCACTTGCTAGAGACAAAAGTCATCTGAGGCTGTGGCATGCAAAACAAGAAAATCTTTATTATTTATATTTGCAAACTGCAACCCTATGCCTTTCAACTGCAGACTACAATGAATGTATCATCTCTTACTAACATGTGCTACATTATTTTCAGCTTCTGAGATTTCCATTCACGCATCTCTTGGTAACCCTAAAGGTCAGCATCTGTAAAGTATCTATGTCTTTATGTTCCAGAGATACACAGATGTCTCTTCCTGTTCATACCCCAAATCAAACAGACTGACCTCAAAGTGACTCCAATCCTGGAAGACAGCTCTTCTTAAAAGGTAACTCCCACTGTCCATTTATGAGTGATTTTAAAATGACTCAGGTCATCCACTAAAATGCTTAGATTTCTGCACACAGTAGCCATGGTCTACCAGTTTCATGTATCAAACACTTAGTAGAAGGTGAGAATGTAACCCATATCTTGTGGTATCGTTTTCCTAATAATATATACGTGGGAGAACAATGTTCACTTTCAGATAGCAAACACCTTCCGGAAATTTTGTAAGTTCTTAAACAAATGTAGCTATATCATTTCCAATAGCTGAGCTAATATAAAGGTGGGTCAGACCTGCTTACCAGGAACTATAAAGACATTTTTTAACTGCAGTGCAGAAATCTCCCTGTAGGACTGTGTATAACGTGTTCCATAAAACTTAATTTTGTATCTAAACCCACTTGTGGCTAGACCAAATCAAAACTTATGAAATATGTTTCTTGATACTAAGTCCAGACGACAGGGCTTCCATTGTAGCAAAATATCCTGTAAAAGCACTGAGCCCAGTTTTCAGGTTTGCTGGATACCTTTAATTCCTACTAATTTTTGTTGGGAGTCAAAGTGTTAGCACATTAGGCACTGATTGTAGTGACTCTGTGCTAGTGTTTCCTATTTCTACACAGAATTAAGTTCCTAAGTCTTCAGGCCAAATCCTCTTTCTCTATTCCCCCAAGAAAACCGAACTGCTAATGTCTGATTCCAGAGCTTGCATGAATATGTTAACATGTTCTTCTCCCTGCCTTGGGGATGTGTTTTGTCACTTCCTTTCCTTTGTAAATCAAATGCAGCTAATTCATTTTCAGTCTGCTGCTGCTTATAGCTATCAGCCCCGGTAATATTTTTTCTCTTAATCTTTGCAAGGTTCTTCCTCAGTCCTACTGGTCTAATTTTTTAACAGACCAAGATGTAAAGCCAGGCTATAGATTCAAGACACGATAAATTCAGAATCCCACTGCAAAAAATAAAAAATAAAAAAATACACAGTGCAAAAACAAAACAAAACAACAACAACATCAACAACAAAAACTTCTACAACTGTGTAAAGCCAAAATGATTTTTCCCCATGATCTGTTTAGAATCTTATTATTAAAATATCAGTAGATATTTATATTGCAGCCTGGCCTTCAGGACCAGCCAGGATCTGAAAATCATTAGTACAAACACATAAGAAAAGAAAGCAGAACTAATTGTTCATATATTCCCCACAGCTTTAAAGAACAATTTTGCATTGGCAGCATACAAAGAATTTGTGACTGATATCTTGACTTGGTGCCACACACGATTCTTTCAGAGGCATACCAGTCAGAGGAGAGACTGGCACCTTAGGTTCATTGCAAGAGAGACTTCATGCGTAACAGCCATTGAGGAAGAAACTGTGACAGAAAACTCCTTCTGACACTTCATATTTCCTTTTAATCTTTGATTTTAGAAGTGTACCAGAGTTCTTTCTATTTAAAATTGTTTTATCCATTTTTTTAATATATTTCAGGCTATTTTTCTCTCTCTCCTTATTACACTGCATGTAACCTACTAAGTTTCCCTGTCAGAGCATATACTGGTTTGGTTGCTGGATGGTATACATATGTATATCTCAGGAGTCACCTTTAACAATTCCTTTTTTATTCCTTAATAGGCTTTTCCTGACGGTCTAAATCCTGTTTGGCTTAAGCCATTTTCTTCAAATGTCCCAATACTTCTAAATTTAATGTTTTGTTGTTGTTTTTTTTTTTTTTTGTCCCAGTAGATGGGTGGTCCAGGCCGTGTGCATTAGCAGCTTGTGTCAGACTTGAGGAGGAACACTACACAGCTGCACACTTTCAGACTCTCGGACTTGGAGCAAAGCTGCAAAGCTGTATCATATAGAACATCAGAGAAGGTTTAAGACATTTTATTAAAAATATGGAGAGCATGAGAACAAATCTTATAACTAAAACTGCTTCTGTAATTCATGGAAGAATTTCCACTGAGTCACTGGAACTGTGTTTATAAGAAAGACAACTAGGTTTGGGCCCTAAATGCCAGTGTTTCCAACTCAGTAATAGGAGTATAAACACCTTGCATATATGGTAAATAATGTAAATATAAATAATTCAATATCTACAATATCTAAAATGATTTGTGATTACTGTATCATATATGAATTAGTGGAAATGTTTACAACACACACAATTTGAAACTGAGAAACCTATGGTCCCTATTCCAGGGTGTTTAGGAGAGCAAAAGGTGAAGGAAAACAATGAGAGATGGAAAAAAGAAGCATTCCCAAAGGCTTTAAAGGCATTTTTTTTTCCAAGGAACTATACATTTTTGCATTGTCATTGTGTTGTTTGGTGTCAGTTTATTTATTTTTTGGTCTCTAACTAAGGTTGCAAATCATTTAATTGCTAAGTTTCTCTTTTAACTTGTTCATAACTGTAAGAAACTCATTTCTAGTATTTCTAGTACAAGAATGACAAAAACAGAACAACTGTCCTTCCCACTATTAAAAAAAAAAATAAAAAAAAAAAGTTTTTTGAGACTTAGAAATATGTTATTACAAAAAAAAATCAATTTTGAATAAAGAAATATTTTCAGTAATGTAAAAAGATGAATAGAACTGAGAATTGTATATAGACTGTATATGTATTCACGTTATTATTTTACTGATATTCTTTAAGGGAAAACCTATATGGAAGGATGATGGCTTATGCTTGTTTGAAGTGTTTATTACCTACATATCAGGAGGACATGAGAAACATAATGCTAATTTTAACATCCTGCCAAGAGAAAACAAGAATTAAACAAGATGGAGTTTCACTTTTTTAAAGAAGAGTAGGTATGATAAGGTAATACTTCAGGAACTGCTCAGCAATGCTCAGGAAACTGGCCCTAAAAACAGCTGAAAAAGATGCAAATCAGATGCTTCCTTTCTAGCATCATAATGGACACTAAGTCTTGTAAAAGAAATAAAGGTTTTCTTTAAAGTGTTTTCTTTCCTTTGAAGAGAGCACACTAAAATAACAGAGTGAATACATTAATACTTTAAATGGAAATGTGTTTTATTTTACTAACTGTTGAATATTTTATATGAATGTAGATTGTATGTTATATGAATCAAAGCCCTAGTGAGAAAAGGAGAGCAAAGTCTTTGGGATGCCACCAGTCCTTCATATTCATGAAGTTGTCATACTCTTCATAGGTTGATACTTGCTTTCATTAATGAATGGACTTTGACTTGGCAAGACATTTAAGCAGACATACAAACTTAAGCATGTGATGAAATTACTTGCTCTATCCTAGGTTCTGTTTAGAAGTTTGCCTAGACCTTGTTTCTGTATGCAGTACTCTCTGAGCATGACTTCCTATACCATACTGAAATCTGAATACATGCAGTGATTATTCTTATTCATTTTCCAGTCTTTCTATTGACTTAGTTTCAGGACAAGTATAGTAAATTTCTATGAACATGAGAGAAATTATCAGTGTATTTCTTATTAGCACTATGTTTTATCATTACTTTGAGTCTACAAAGAGTCTACAGTGTTTTCCTGTACTAACAAGTTCTCTTGTCAGGTACAATTCTAAGGGTCAATATATTTCTTCCAAATGCAAAAAATTCCCTGAATGAAAGAAAGGCTTCAACGGGGACATTTCTCTTATTGACACCAGAGAAACTACAGAAGAGGAAGGTAACAGCAACAGAAGAAAATAAGCTCCACTTTGATTAAGATCTTAAATGAGGCAGTTACACATGAGTTACAAATCTATAAGAAAATCTGACTACTGTATTTTTTCTCCCGTATCCTCCCCCTAAGTATATATCATCCTTATTACAGTACATTCTGCTCTATGTAGATGGGCAGAATGATTTTGCCATCATTTGAAAAACTAAAAGGAATCATCTCTTGTGTAATGCAGATCAATGTTGCATATTCTACACGTTTCACAAACCTAGACATCAAAACAAGAGATCTGCTGTGCAGGCTACAAGAAAGAATATGAGCCTTACAAGTCTCTTTATTAGCATACAAATAGTAGCTTTTTACAAAGCAGATTGCAAGATCTTTTTTTCGTAATATCATGTTTTAAGATTACAAGATCTATTTAAGATTTAATGTTTTAAATGTTTATATGTTATAACATTAGAAAACGCATGAGTGTCATAGACTTAAAGAAAGCAAACGGTGAAAACCATACCAGTTTCCTAGCTTGTACTAGCATTCAGATCAGAAATTACAGGGATGATAAATGGTCAATTTCCGAGTGAGTTTGTCTGTTTTGTGGGAAGGAGGAAACGGAATGTCTTAAAAATGCAGTGTAAGCAGAACAGCTTGGATTAGTGCCAAGGACAAGGGTTGTACTATGTGAAAATTAGAGTAAGAAGCAATACAGCACGTTAGAAGACTAATTGTGACCAGCAAAGAGAAAGAAAACATTTATGTTGAAACACTGTGGGACTGTAATTCTAGGAATCATAAATTACATTCAGATATAATATTGTGATATTTAAAATAACAACATTAAATTAAATTGTCATGGATTTCCCAGCCCTCTTTATTTGACTTAATATTATATTTTATTTTATTTTATTTTATTTTATTTTATTTTATTTTATTTTATTTTATTTTATTTTATTTTATTTTATTTTATTTTATTTTATTTTATTTTTAAGTCTCCATAAAGAATACAACTATTTTAATTACTTTTGCACAAACTCTGTTAGAACAAAGCAATAAGGTTCTTGGTCAGAATTCTTCTTGAACAGCAGTTGAGTGAATATTCTTTATAGCGACAGTTTTCATCATGATATTTCTCTTAGATTTCTGTGTTCAGTGAAGAGTTTGCCCTAAAAGTAAAAGTAACAGCAGAACTGGCTCTAAACCCTACCCATGAGGCAAGACCTGCCAAGAACATCTTATGTGGAGGCCTGTTATGTTTAACCTGGCTCCTGCACTTGCTATGTTGCTTTCCAGAGTCTTAGCGACTTGACAGTTTGAAGATACCTTGTTAGTAATTCTTTCACTAGCAATTATTTTCTGGACCACAGTGTAGTTCTGTGACTCTGTTAGAGCTAACAATTTTCACCATAAATCTATTTAAAGGAAAATGTAATTTGTACAAATTCAGTATTTGAAAATACCAGTTTTTCATTATTCCTCAGGCCTAATTATATTGGAGAAAAAAAAAAATCTGCTTAACATTTTTTACAGTTCAGTTTCAGAGACACCCAACCTCCTCTTTTCATCAGTTTCAGTTTCTCTTTCAAATCTGAGACCTGTCCAGTGTGAGAATTAACTTTTATGGGGTAGTGCCTATATATTGCCAAATATTGTATTACACAGTACTAAAATATGTTTTAATGATATTGCAACTCCACTGCTTCTTATCCATGTAGATTAAATGAATGGATTTTATTTTTTTCTGAAAGCTTAAATAGATAGCAAACAGATTGTTTATTATTTAATTATATACATATTATATGTATACATATATGTAATTACTACATATATATACTATATCTGAGATGTTGATTGCAGAGATATCAATGGACATCAGTGATGACATATTTCCCAAAGCTTCAATTCCAGCATCAGTAATATTTTCAGAATGACGTAGATTAAGGTAGGTCAGTTGATGACATCTAAATTAAATAATAATGTTAGATAATAAGTAAATAAATAAATAAATACGAAATGTTGGCTTTTCACTTCTGTTACAGAAATGTAGTATAACAAGAACATTTTTCTCATAACCCTTGCCAAGCTGTTTTTCAGGGGACCTATGGAAATAAACTCTCCATACCCATGAGATTATATCAGACTTTTGATATATGGCTTATGTAGGCACTTCCAGAGACTACACTCATAACGTTTTGCATTCCAAAGGTTTCAAACCATGAACAGCAATCAAATTAAATGAAAATATGGAAATCAAGGAGCTATATTACAAATTCATATATATATTAATGAGTTTGATGCTTGACTTTTCCCCATCTCCAAATCTCTCATGTCTTGCACAAGAACAACAAAGTTCACTGCAACTACAGAATTCAGTACTCTATGGCTGTGCCCACACCCACTTACACCAATGCATATAATAGTGCAAAGCAAATGTGGGCATCGCTAGGATCTGCAGTTCAGCACTCACGGAGCACACAAGCATGAATGAATTTTACCTCCTAAGTAAGCACAGTACGTAGTGTGTTCTTATAAGCAAAACAGAAGACCTAAGAAATGATTGCAAACAATGATTGCATCTACGCTCAGAGCCCTAGGGGTAACACTCCATCAATAAAACAGAGAAGGCATTCCCTAACTTACCAGCAAGCATTCTATAACTGTTTACATCTAATATTATGAAAGCGTAACAAGGGGCCTGCTGAGAAATCTAGTAATGAGTGGAAAGACTGACTCCGATCTTCTCTTGAGCTTTAAAAATTGTATTATGATTGCCAATACCAATACTCCTTCTGTGGAATGGGGAATGAAGAGGTTTAGCAATGGAGTGCTTTTTGTTTGTGCAGGCATGGATATTTAGTGAGTTTTCAAAAATGTGACCTAAATGTAGTTTTGTCACTGACAACAACCACTTAAGTACTTTTTTCCCCCTAGAATTAAGACTCTCAGGTTTCCATATATTGATGATTTCCTCTTTGTTTAAATGGCTGTACACCTCCATCACTGATTTTAAAAGACATATGTAGGCAATATTCATAGAATGTATTTTTCCTGTTCTACGCAATTCAAAATTTAAATTAAATTAAGCAGTGTATATTGTAGATAAACAGAAATAAATACTGATTTTTTAAATACCTTTTTAAGCCTCCAAAATGTTAGACTAATTAATGGCATGATTAGAAGATGTTACTCTTTGTAGCTAAAAACCAGAACTTTCCGAGAAAAAGTCTATCGGAGATCATGAGAGCTTCCATCAGTTCTGTCTCTCAGATATGAAAGCATCTCAAAAGACAGAGCTTGGAAAAGATATCTAGGTATCAAAACCTGTTTAAACATTTCAGAGTAATATTTGTTATTGATATAATATTTGGTATTAAGGTATTAATATCTTTATTGATTTAAGTAAAAAAAATATTTAAAGGAGAAATGATCTTCTAGGACAGAAGCAAAATACAGGGGTAGTACGTACATATGTATGTAGTAGCTATTCTGTATATATGTGCAGTGACTGAAGAGTTAACTACAACTATTTCTTGAATTATTTCACTTAATCAATTGCATGTCACACACACAACTCTCTAACTCATAATATACTAAAAGGTTATTAAGATTAGGTAAATGGAAAATCTTTCAGTCAACCTGAGAGGCTTGGAGTGTTGACTACAACTTGGGTAAGTGTTCGATACAGCTCATATCTTAGACACATTTAACATTACTTGTTCAATTAGCTTTCCAATACGTCCACAATACTTCAGAGAATCACAGATTATCCTGAGTTGGAAGAGACCCACAAGTATCATTGAGTCCAACTCCTGGATCCCCAAAGGACAACCCAAAAATCAGACCATGTGTCTGAGAGAGTTGTCCAAACACTTCTTGAACCGTGGCACGCTCAGTTCCTGCTACAGTTCAAGATTTCTTCTGTGTTACCTGATGGACAAACAAGCAATCCCAGATTTCTCTAGGACAAAATCATATTTTGGCTTGTACATTTTGTTGCAGAACAAACTGCAAATCCCAAAGTCTTAAAAAAAAACATAGGTAAGAATAGTACTGCTGAGATAATTGTGCTGTGAACACATACTAAGTTTCTCCAGTCCAGCTGATGAACCATATAAAAACACAGATCACACACTGCTTCCCTTGGATTATCATACATGAAGATAACAAACATAAATGGGGAAAATATGGCAAGAGTGTGAATCACCACATTGCCTGTGTCAACTTTTAGCCAACTTTTTACTCATATCTCTTGTTTCTTAAATTTAATAATCATGACCAGTTTCATTTCTTTCTTCATTTTTCATATGTAGTTAAACACTTCCTATAATTGTAAGCATTCTGATTTGTTAGATTTGCTCTTTCTGCCTCATTTCTGAAAAAAAAAATATATCCATATGACTAAAGTTAGAAAAAGTTAGACTTTTAGAATAAGATAAAATGTCAATAAAAAAGGAAACTGATAGAGTTTTAACATCCTATCAACTAAACATTTCAAAATTGGTTCTTAAGATCCTGTTACCAGTATGGTGCTTCCCTTGATTTCTGTCATAAATTCCTAAATGTTTCTAATTCAGAGTTAATTTTTATATGAAAATACTCTCCAAATAAGGGGAAAAAATGACAAAATAATAATAAGAATAAGATTTCCCCTTCGGTAGTTTCATTTTTCTTAAGAAAACTCTTTACAAAGTTTTGATTTGTTACAATCTATAACTTTGGTAATGCTGAAACTTTTATAAATGTCTGCAGAAGTAAAACAAAATATAGAGCTTTACAATAGCTTTATAATTGCTTTAAATGTTTTGTTAATGTAATACAACAATTCTTTAGCATTAGAGGTAGTAGACACACGTACAAACATACTCACTGCCCAAGAAACCATCTGGCCAACAGACTGGAAAATCCAGCCTTCTAAATGTTAATCCAGAAAATTCAGGCAGCTGTCCCATCTGCACAACTGAATTACCAACATGATGTCATGGCATTACTCTCCAGCACTTCTCAGTGCATCTATGCACGCAATGTTATCAGATTTTTACACAGCATCAGCAGGCACAAAGAGTACTTAGATACATACTAAAGCAGAACCCCTAAAACCTAACATGATGTCAGAAATGTTATGAGAAGCAGCAGTTCTGGCTTCTTTGTATTATGTATGTATTTTGATTTTGAAATACATGTAGCTTTTGCCTTCCCTTTTCCCACCCACTCCTGACACCATTACCATGCCACAAAATTGGGAACAAGAGTGCAACTTTAGAAGCTCTTCCTTTGCTATTTTTTTCTACTGATGCATGACACATCTGAAATGGAAAACAGTCTTCACACCAAATACATCCTTCCTCTACAACATAACATGCTATGTTGTCTTTGTAATTGTAAAAAAAAAAAAAAAAAAAAATAGTATTCACAAAAGTAAACAGTAGCTGAATTTTAAGACAGCTCTAGTTCTTGCATTGTCTTTGGTTATCATTTTCATCTTCTTTGAAGCCCTATTCCAGCATTGAAATACGCCATAACTTTTAAGTAATATTACTTCTACTGTTGATTATTTTGTTTGAACTGGAGTAATAATGAATGGTTTTTTGAAAACATGGTACAGGAAAAAAGAACTATATGTATATATTTTTTTAAATGTTAATATATTCATATTAATATGGCAAGAATGTATTTTTAGAACTGAAAGATATGCTAATAGGACTTATGATGAGCATAATTAACTTTACAAAATTCTTTTAGAATGTTTTACAGAAAAATGGGTGCAATATAGTACCATAAGCAGTCTGCTACACTCAGGACATGAATACACTTCGGCTGTGAAACCATCTGAAGACCAACATCATTCATCTGGCAACAGGCAATATGAATAAGCCTGATGTATGGGCAGCATTTACTTATCAGCTTGAAACTCAAATCAGTAATTTGGTCATCTCCTTTTGAAAATATATAAAGATGTAAGTTACACATCTGACATACATTAGGGGCATACATCCAAATACCTACTAAAATCAGTTAACAGATTTTTACTGGTTCCAAAAGATGTAGATGAATTTTCAAAATCATTCTAATAATTTTGTGAAATATTATACTAACCTTCAATCCTGACCTTAACGAGTTTACATTCAGAAGGGCTTTAAAAGTTGGATCAGAAAGATGTGGAGAGTCAAGAATCACAACAGACATTATCTGTTGACATTTTTAAACCAGAGCCTTTGAAGGGAAAAAGGTGAAATAAAATATTCGTATACCTATGCTGTCATATAACAAAGGATCAGCAAACAGTCTGCACACAGTACTGAATGTTGCAATTTTGAATAGTTATAACCCATTCTAACAGTAACTTCTAAACTGTGAGCACTATATAAATAACTGAAATTCTCCATATATTTATTGTCTCTGGGCTGCTCAGTCTTGGGCATACAAAGTAGCTTCTTTAACATATAAATCCTGTGTAAAGGAGAGGACAGTTTCCCCTTAGCCACATGTTCTACAGATGTCATGGGTATGAACCACAAGAGAAAAGGTTGTCCTTGATATTCACATATAGTGATCTCACTATTTCCCAGAGTATTGAAATTGGGAGGATATCCCAGCAGTAATAAAAGGATGTGGTAAAACAGATTGTCAGTGCTAGTTAACATTAAAATGTCAAGCAATGCTACTCTACTGTAGAAGTTGAAAGTGTTTTGCATGAAGAGTTACGACACAAATAGCAATCTTGTGAAGCTCGGCCTCCAGCCTTGTACTACACGAGTCATTCACTTGGAAAACATACACAAAAGAACAGTCTGGCATGTACAATTAGGTACCAAGTAAGGCCTATGGGGACAAGTATCCAAAAGGAGGAAACTTCAAAGATGAAGTGTACTGGGAGGGACTCCAGCTGCTGCAGAAGCCTGATTTGCCAAGTCACGGGGAGCAGCAGTGTAAAGCACTGGGTTTGCTTAGGGTCTATGTGTTGTCTGACAGCAGACACCTTTAGCAGACAGGAGATAGTCACAGAAAAGAAAGCCAGAAGCTAAGCAGTAGCTACTGGTCCATCACACTACAGTATGGTGGCATTGCACTAGAAAATGCTTCTGGTTCTTGCACTTGCAACCTCTACCTTCTGTAGTACATTTGACTGCTCCCCACAACTACTTCTCAGTGGAAACAAGGGTCAAACCTGCTTTCCTTCCACTCTAACATTGAGCAAGGAATTTAATGCACTGGGTTTCCATCTCCTTTTGTTTATGCAAGCTTAACATTTTGGTTCTTTTTGTGTCTGAGGTTTGGTGTGTTTTGTTTTGTTTTAATTATTTTATTATTAGTATTTTTCTCCTTAACTATCTGACTCTTTCTTTAAGTTACAGTTAAGGCAGACTGCCTTTTCTTTTCTGGCAGAATGCCCCATCTTTTAACTTACAGCCAGGTTGGCTTGCTCTTTATGTTTTCTCAGGCTTGAAGCATTTGTGCAGGTCTCATGTCCACAAAGGTGGAATACAGTGTGACTCATGACACAAGTGACACCCTTACTACTGTGGATGCAAGTGGAGCATCAATGTTTTTTCTACAGTGGTCTGTAACAGTCTGCAGGCAACACACAGGCGAAACAAATCCCATCAACTACCCTCTGTCAGCTGCTTGTATTCAAGGCAGGACCTGTCACGGAGCAGCTGCTCTGAAAACAGCTATATTTCAAGAAATAGCTGAAGAAAGTAAGAGAGCAACACTTTAGGGGTGGAGGGGGCAGTCCCAGTGCAGGGGCAAGATATGACTTCTAAACAGACTGTCAGGATAATAGAAAAATGGTCTTAAGTGATATAAGAACCTGGTCTATTAATGACTCTTAGCTGTCAAATATCTATCATCAGACAGGGAAATAAAATAATCTGAGAAGAGTCTATTTCCAACAAGTAATCCTGGAGTTTGAATTCCCAGTTCTCAAATGTACAGGGTTACAAGAGAAGTCAGGTCCTGCAGTGGTCAGACATGGGCCTCATATCAGGATAGTAGTAATCTTGCACAAAGGTCTCCGGCTATGACTTGACCATCAGAGGCCATGGTAAAATGAAATGTGATCCTAGAAGAAACATTGAGGAAACAAGCCAAAGCTTCAAAAGATCATAAGAGCAAGTTTCTCAATGATAAGAACAAGAAGGCAACCAGAGGACTACACAGCCAAGAACTATTAGGCAGCAATATGCTGTTTCTTAAAAGATCTGAAGCTTAAAAGATCTGAAGTGGTGTGTTGTGTTGATACCTTCTCTTAAATGCATAAAGGAGCGAAAAGCGTGTGTATGTTTTTATGGATATCAGAAAAGGTTTCTCTTGTGAGGTACTCTAATTGTTATACAAACAAATTAAGGTAAGTTTCCTTCAGTAAGGTGCCTACAGTTAAGTGGAATTCCTGTTCTGAAAAGGATAACACATCTAGCAGGTAATCAGATCAAACTCAACAATGTTTGGGGACAGAAGTAGCACGTCTGTTTCTGAAATTCAGTTAAGATTGCAAAATGTGAACTGTAGTCTAAAGGATTTTTAATCTTTTTGTCTGGAAAAACACTGTTTGCTTAACATAGCAATTTGATACCACAAATAGCAGCAATTTAGTGTTTTCCTCTATGCAAGCCAAAAACAATTATACTGAAGCAGATAATAATACCCTTGTACAGAACGTTTCAAATTTTTTCACTTAAACTGTTTTTAACTTAAAGCTGGATAACGGATCCCATGCATTCAGATAAGATTCAATTAAGTTAGTCAACATTTAGATGCTGTCGCAATATCATAGGTATTTGTCTTATTTTCATTTATTCCAATAAAAATAACATCTCAATGTTGAATTTCTTTACTAAAGGCCTTGTTGATTATCTATGAAACTTAAGACACTGTTGGAGATAAGGTGTAGGAGTACAAAATTTCATGCACATTTTAGTGAAACAATAAAAAGTTTCAGTGTTGTTGACTGTTACAGTGTTGTTGACAATAAAAAGTGAAACAACTTGGAGTTTCAGTGTTGTTGGAATGCTCACCAGAGTATCACCATTAGGACACATATGGAATTTAATACTGTATTCTTTTCTTTGGATAAATAAAATTCCTCTTTAACCTCTTTCTTCAAATGAACCATGAGGGAGGATGTTTTGAAGGTTATTATAAGATGCTATAAAATTTTGCAAAACAAACTTTTCCTGCATGACTCAGTAAGATAGTTTTATACATTTTTTTTTCATGTGTTAGAACAGAAGTCAATGCAATGATCCAATATAAAATATAAATCCTTGTCTGTGAGGAGTTCTCAGTCTGATATGTAAATGACTGGTTTATTGTTCTTTTCCTAACTGTATGTTAATATGCTGACATCTAAAATTAAACTATACCAAAACAAACACGGAGCAAACCACAAGTAAAGATCTGTCCCCACAGATTTAAAAAATGTAGTGAAATGATTAAATGTTTGTAAGAATGACAAAATCCATTTAATCTTTTTATATAGTTTCTTAATTACAAAGAATAGGAAAACATTATTTTGATTCAGTTTTTGGCTTATTTCTTATCACATACAGTACTGCTTTAAATTCTTTCTTTCTCCCCCTGAACAGATTGTTTCTGTGGAATCCACCCTTCAGAGAGAACACTCTGCAGCACAGAAGTGATTTTTAAGAAGCATTTTACTGTGATTCCAGTATTGTCAAACAACACATTGTCAATGCAGAAACTAGAAAATAAGTGTTCTGCATTGTGGAAGTACTCTTGTGGTCTGCAAGGGACTATAATTTTTTTTTTTTTCAAATTTGCCAAGGATGATAAATAAATTGTGACATACTTTCAGATGTTTGGCTTATTGCACTGATGGCTTGCCTCCACATGTTATTTTTCTTTTAGTATTCCACTGTCCAAAAAAGCATATGTTAACATACTCCTGAACTATCACCTTTTTAAATTACAGAATAGTGCATGTGTACCTTACCCTACCGTTACACAAGTTTGTAGTCAAGGAAAATAAACAATGAGTCCTCTTTGATAATTAACACAGCTCAGATTTTCTTCTCAAGTACTGGTCCCTCTTCCTGCTTGATATGTCTGAAGATGCCAGAAGTTGACAGTAGCTGCCAGAATGAGAATTCTCCCAAGTCAGAGCAGGAGGAACTCAGATGGTGAAAACTGGTGAAGCCTATATGTCTGCCAACAGCTTCTCTGACATCCCCACAAGCACTGCAACACTTCAAGAAATGAACAGGTCAAATTTATTTTTCCCCAGTGCCTTGTGATCTCTTAGCCAGCTGTTGTTAACTTCAGCAATTGATAGGCTGCTCTAAAATATTTTGAGCCAGAATAGTTCATCTGGAAATCAGTAAGCCATAGACCTTGGCATCAAGAAAAAGGTCAATTTCTTTGAAAATCTCCATCTTTCTAATTTAACTGGAAACACCTCCCACCAAACTTTTCTAGTTGTATAATCTCAATGTAAAATAACATGCAATTCCTATATATTCTTTATTTTTTCAGTTTTGTTGTCTTAATAGCAGAAAATATTCCATCTCTACCATTCAGCTTCAGAAGCAGGACAAACAAATCGGGATTTTTTGATACTTTGAGATTGTCGATGATGTCCTAGGACACCTTTTGAAGAGGACACAAGGAAATCTCTACTTTTTATAAGAATAACATGAAACTATTCAACAAGACTAGAAGATGTGTGCTTGATTTCCACTCTTCTGCCCACCTAGGCTTCAACCAGTTTTTTTAATGCTTGTATTCAAGTTGCTGCCTGTAAAACCATTAGCATAATCACCCATAATCACCCATTTTACAGATGGGCTTTCTAAATAGATGTTCAAGATCTATAGCAGTAATAAGAACTCATATAAAAAGAACTATAATGTTAAAATGAAGGGAAAAAAAAAAAAAAAAAAAAAAACAGGCTTCTACAGAATATGTATTCTGGTCTATAGAATACTCTTTAACATCATTTATTTGCTTATACTATAGTATCACTACATTTTTCTAACTCTGAAATGTTAACCATACATACAGTAGTTCCCTTTGGTTTACTTCATCCAGTGAGGGAAAAAAAAATAAATCTGCCCTATTAAAATGCTTTCTGCAACACTGATGCAATTTGACGCTCCTCTTGGTTTTAACAGTTTACTTAAGTGCACAGTTATGATCATTAAACACTGTTCCAGAATCAGAGGGAAACCCAAAATGGAGGAAGCTGTGGAATGCCTTTCAGAGCTCTCAAATACACTGGTAAGCAAATCCACTTCATTCCACTGGAAAGGGGAAGCCCGTGGTTTTCCTAGTTTGATGATGATCACTCACTCTTCTCTGACTGCAGTTAGATCATGCTTTCTAGAGACAGATCCTTACACTTCATGATTACACTTCTTAAACAAGCGGGAATTTTGCTTTTTTGAATAAATAACCAATTACTGGTATTTTGAAGAGGTAGATAGTTCTTAGCTCTAACCTCAGCCCTCATTTCAAATTTCATGTTATCACTGTGCAATACTTCCCATAGTCTCAGTGTGATTGTCAGAAACGAGACAGACACTCAGAGCAAGAAGAATGCTTGAAGAAGAACAAGACTTGTTATATCTGCTTTCATCCTTGGTTCTGGAAAGTTTTTGTGAAACGGGAAGCTAAACCATTACTCCATTACCCTAATTTCTTTATCATTTTGCAAGTAATTTTTGGTTTGGAGAATCCTCTCAGTGTATGCAGGGATATACATAAGAGTTTTTATTAACACACTGCAGACTTTCACTACATTACAGTTTAGTATTACATATACTTTTGTAGCACATTTCAAGATATAAAATAATACACTTTAAAAAAAAAAAAAAGGCACTAGTTTTAGTTACGGACACTACTTCAATCTATATTTTAAATCATTATAAAATAGTGAGGGAAGTTCACTTTTGAATTAATTTCCTTTTCAGGAACTCAAGTGAAAATTTATATTTTTCCAATGCACAGTGTCTTTTATTTCTTTATACCTTAGCAAAAACTGCATTTCCAAACCTCCTGATTTAAAATCCTAACTAATCATAACATAGAATTAGTCTATTTATGGCTACAAAAAGCAAGCCTTGTTCTCATTATGCAGTAAGTACTAGCTGTTTGTGGATCTGACACTTTGTTGGATGTGATCCAAACCTATAGTGCTATTATTCCTCAGTAAAATTTAAACAGCTGTAGTCATGTAATTCAAAACCCTGGAAGCCTGCTGCAGTGCTTGTTCTGCTTCAGTATACCATGAATGCAGGATGCAGCCAGTCATATAAAGGATTCTCTCCTTCACAGAATGAAAGAAAGACGTGAAGTACAAACCTGAATGCAACCTGAAAGGTCCAAACAGATGAGCTTGTGACATCCTCTTCCAGAGCCCAGGTACTGTAAACCTTTGTCTGTGATTTTTTTTGCAGGGAGCTAAACTCAGATACTGCAAACTGGGAAAGCTCCTTTTCAAAATTAAAAGAGTGAGAGAGAGTGCAGCTTATTACAAGAATATGTTACAGAATGAAAGAATATAAAATACTATAGCTAAAATATTCTGGAAATTACTGTAGGAAATGCTGTTATACATTAAATAGAATTTGCTTCTTGCTGAGGTTTTAAAGTTTCTTTTGTTTTTCTGCTGCACTTTTTCCTCTGCTCCATGAATTGCATATTAGTGGGGAATAGCACTATCATACAGCATATTTCACTGTATCAAAACAATATCATTTTAAAGTTATCTCAACTGCAAAACCGTCCTTTTTTAATTAACTGTGATTTTTGTGTGCATATTTTGAAAATGAATAGACTTCTCAGTGTAAGCTTGGTGGACTCTTTGCCATTGATTTTACAAGCAGTGCCTGGTGGAAATGAAAACCAGAGCTCTATCAAAGGACGTTAACAACACAAATGTACACTTAGAGCTTCTCTGCTCATATAATTATTTAGAAGAGTACTATTAAAAGAATCTGAAAAGTTGAAAGAGACACAAAAGTGAATTAAGTGCCTATATCTCATATTTTTCAATGTTTTCTAAAGTTTTAATCAGTTCTTTTGGAAAATATTTCCTTATACTAAATGTTAGCTAAAAGAAAGCAAACTGTATAAACGGAAAATGTTAATCTACAGCACGCTGTAAAAGCTAAGAATCTATACTCAGAATATATTTAAGTTTCCATCTGCAGACTTGGTTTGTAGCATACTGAAAACTATTTATTTTACTGAACTAAATTTCTAACTGGAATAAATAACTATTGCCACAAGCACCACAAATGAAAACATACAGAAAATCAGAGCCTAGAATTAGGACCCACTGCTCTGGTAGACATTTAGTCTACATTTGCAGTTCTGCAAGTCAGCAAAAAGTCATTTTGAAGAAGGACAGGAACACCCACTGAGGAACTGACTACTTAAGGAGTGGCATAAATTTTCAGAACTGACTTTATATTTTCAATATAGAGTGGGGAAACATGCTGTCTTGAACTGAACAGGGAAAAAAAAAAGAGGGAGAGAGAGAGAGGAAGCTGGAAAACAATGTTATCTGTAAAAATGATAATACAAAAATATTACAAATGAAATGTAAGATTACATTTTATGAAAAAAAAAAAGAAAACGACAGAAAAAAAAAACACAACAGAATATGAGGTCATGCATTTGTATTTTTTTACTAAATAGAAATATTTATTTCACATTAAGTACAGAAATATAAGTATGCTTCTTGAGAGAAGCTTGTCTTTTTGCATTTTAGGGACATATGCCACAGAGTTGAGTGGAGAAAATCAAACTCTGAGAGAGTACACTTCCAAACACATCTAAGAAAACAGATAATAAAATAGTAGAATTTTATTAACTGGCAGTTTAAAAACTTTTAAAACTATATGTTGCCACAAGGTTGCACAACTTAAGGTACAGAGAAGCCTTTCTTATTGCATTTTGAATGCTGTTCAAAACTTTCTAGTACTCTTGAAGAGACACTGATTTTCCTTGCAGGTCATATGACCCATTTTTATGACCTGAGACTTTTAATACATGACTTGTATTAACTTCTGCCATTTTTAAAGTGACAGGTTTCTTAGAACTTAAGTTCGAGCAAGTAGACTTGTTTTAAAATAAATCCTTGTTTTGTGTTACAGCTGAATTCTTCAGTAATTGTGTCATATTGGCTCTTTTGATTAATTTGGCATTAGCAGTCTCAGGATCATTGTTTTAAATGCAATCTGATAAAATCACCTTCTCACACATTCCAAATAGACGATATTCATGTCTACCATATGCAAAAGAACTTTTCAGAGGGAAACTGTACCTGATGATTCATGTTGTTTAATACAGAGGTTAAAATTTTTTGTGGAAACATAGGAGAGAATCAAAAATGGAGTGCTTTCACCACTTTCAGACTACACTTGTTCATTGTTCCAATAATGGACATTTGATATACAATAGCAAGCTTCATGTACAATACTACAAAATACAATACTGCCACTTTTAAGAACTTTGTACTAGTTACCTTATTAAACAGGACCTATGGTGAGATGTGTTTTTTGACATGGCACATGAATTGTTTATGAATTGTGTCTGCTATGAAAGTCTTCACAGGGCAGTGAATTTTTTAACTTCCTTGTAATCTCAGAAACAGTGATCTTTCATTTTTGCCCCAAAATTGTCAATAAAAAGACTAGTATCTTATACTTTTATACCAGGAACATAATGTGTGGCTGGAAAAGCTTACTATTACTGAGGTACATGTTAATTGCAAAATATATACCAGTATTTTACCAGAGAAGAATTTTCCTTTTTATTTCAAATATTTTATCACATTGAAAGCTTCATCTACTCTGGAGAATGTTTTCTTGCTGAAATGTGATTTACATATCAAATAAAATACAAGTATCTGACTTTTGGTGGTAACAGAATACTTAGGTAACCAGAATAACATAGGCTAGGATTACATATAGAACGGCTGTTCCAAACATGAGTAAAACTGTGTGATAATTTAGAAAGACAAAATATTAGCCAACATGGAGAAAACACAGATTATGATGAGAATAAAACTGATGAAGAGGAGACTGGCAGGACTAGAGACACACAACAGAAAACTTTGTTGAAGCATATGTTAGTAATCTGAGAATACTGCATTATAGACTGAGAGGAACAAAAATATATTATGCAAATACAAAAGAAAAACAGATTTCTAGACTCTATGGACTTTGAAAGGAGAACATTAGTTTTCCTCACAGAAAAGAGAAAAAATCTTCAGCTATCTTCAAAATCTATACAGTGCTTTGTGGAGGCCATTATCCTGGGTCATCAAGCTTCTTTTCCTTTATGGCAGCCTTTAATGCAGCAAGCAATCTTTAACCAACCAAGCAATCTTTCAGCTTCATAGAAGAATATATCTAAGCAGGAAAGGCAGAACTCTGTAACCAATCATCCAAATAAGATTTTAGAATAACTTTTTTTTTTTTTTTTCTCCCAGCTGGCACACAAGTACTTATCTCACACAATACACTTATCAACAATCCTTTCTAGCAAAAATCCATTTTTATGACCATACCTTCATACAAACTTTTTACACCATCAATAATAACTGGACATGCCATAGAAATTTTTTGACTAGCATGTTCTATTTAAAGTTTCTGTAGAACTCTGTGAAATATATAGAGTAGGCTGGCATATATTGTTAATTAAACTAGTATTAGAGGATAGGCGTATTAGCATTACATTGTGGTAGGTATCTGCTGCAGACTGCTTGATCAAGAAAGCAGATGGAACCATCTTTGGACAGCTGGAGGAAGCCTTACTCATGAGAGACTTAAACCCCTCTGAAACTTTCTGGGAGAACATGTCTGGTTGCAAACAATCTAAACACTTCTGCAGTGTGTTGAAGACAATTTCTTGATCCAGATGACTGATGAACAGTCCAGAGGTGATGTTCTGCTACACTGACTTCACAAATAAAAAATTAAAAAATTGTCCAGGATGTGAAGAACTGGAGTGGTCTTGGTTACTGCAACCATGAAAAAGAGGAGCTTAAAATCCTGAGAGAAGACAGCAAGACAAATTATGAGAGAAAGCCTAAGCTTGAGAGCAAATCTTGACTTTTTCAATGGTCTACTTGAAAGGATCTCATGGTAATTGGATCTCAGTGCCACGGAGGGCAAAAGGAGAGCCCAGGAGAGCTGGATGACCTTTAAGGCCAAGGTACATAATGGCTTTTTTACCTCAGTTTTAATCCTGAGGCATGCCTTCAGGCCTGCCAGAAGCCTTGTAGAAGAGTCAGGGAGTGAAGCAATGCCCCCAATAGAAGATACTATCAGTGAGCACTTAAGGAAGTAAGACCAGGTGAGATGCATGAGTACTAAGAAAGTTGGCTCCTGTCACTGTGTGATGGTTTCATACCAATGGATAGCTAAACTTCACCACAACCATTCTCTCATTCCCCCTCCTCAAAGGAAGAGGGGAAGAAAATAAGATGGAAAAGGAATCAAGGGTTGAGATAAAGACAAGGAGATCACTCGTCAATTACTGTCATGGGCAAAACAGACTCAAAGTAGGGAGATTAATATGAATTATTGCTAAACAGCCTAGAGCAGTGAGAAACTAAAAGCAAACTAAAAACACTTTCTATGTCCTCCCCCTGAGTGATACAGAGACATGGGGAATGGGGGTTGTGGTCAGTCAGTGACGCTTTGTCTGCTGCTCCTTCATGGTCACTCTATTCCCCTGCTCCAGCATGGGGTCCTTCCCACATGCCATCCTTCTCAAAGTGATCCTACATGGACTTCCTACAGATTGCAGCTCTTCAATAACTGCTTCAATATGGGTTTGTACCATGGGATTCATCCTTCAAGAATGGACTGCTCCAAAATGGGTCCCCCATGGGCAGCAGCTCCTGCCAGACCTCCTGTTCCTGCATGGGCTCATCACCATGGGCCGCAGCCTCCTCCTGGCCAAATCTACCTGCTCCACCAGAGGCTTCTCCGCAGGCTGCAGTATGGAGATCTGCTCTGTCATGGCTCCCTGGCTCAGCTGGCAGTGGCCAGTGGCACATCCCTTTTGGAACTGGCTGGAGCTGGCTCTGATCTGACACGGGGCAGATGCTGGGATCTGCTCACAGAGGACACCCTTGCAGCCCCCCAGTTACCGAAACCTTGCCACATAAACCCAATATAGGGTGAGAGGCCTCACTCATCATTTTTGAAAGGTCTAAGTAAGCAGAGAAAAATCCCAGATGACTGGAGGAAAGGAAATGTCACATCCACCATCAGGAAGAGGAAGAAGGATCTAGGAAACTACAGCGAGTCGGCCTCCCCTAAGTCCCTAGGAAGGTTATGTAGCAAACGATCCTTGAAGCCATGCCCAAACACATGAAGTATAAAAAGGTGATAGGGAACAGCCAGCGTGAATTTACCAA